TGATGTCGCGTAGACTGCGCCGTCTTGAGTTTTTGGAGTCCTTGTTTCCATATAGGAATCAACCTAGTAATAAGTTGCAGACGACACAAAAGTTCATTTATTAATACTCGTGAACACAGAAAGCATAATTTAGCTAATCGTTATATATCGTTACTTCAAATGATTTTCATTTGTTTTATATTAAAGACCACGGCGGATTTTTTAGAAAGCCGTGCTATTTGCATCAAAAGATATGTTTATGGTATGTAAAAAAACGTTATAATTAGCAAACTATAGATAACTGTGGTGATATTTTCCGACATAATTCATTAAAACTGGCTTAGACTTGAAATAGAACTATGAGGTCTGGTTTAACTATTGAACATCGAATACGCTTTAAGTTTAAACTCTTTACATCAAAATAAAATTTACGTTCCACAAGTAGCTCCTCGGTAAAGTAAAAAAAGGTTAAGGTTAAGTAAAAAAGGGTGTATGCTTTTAAACTATAGTATACGATCTCCTGAAGGTACATTATACGCACTTCTTCCGTTCTGTTCTATTTCTCTTTCGCTCGACCGAAATATAATAATTTCTTTAAAATGAAATACGAATAATTCAACAAAAACTACAAAGTTAACATTTTGTTGACAGCGATTTTCCGTCTTATAGTTCTCTTACCATTGAGTGTAATCATATATTTATACAATGGTAACATCAGAATTCACGGAGAGAGGCACGACTTTATGTGCTCTGATGGATCGTCCATACCTATGGTAAATCGGTCTGATCGTAATTCTGACTGATTAGACTATACAGATGAAATGCCATGTCAGAAAGCTATTCCAGGTTTGTTAATTATTTGGCATAATGTCAAGGTATTTGATAATGAGCTTTAATTTAACTTTCCTCGACGATTAAATTGTTAGTGGAAATGACTTTGTGAGTAAATGATTAATCATATTATTATATAATAAGTGAAAATACTTCATACATGCATGCAAAAATATACAATAATAAAACGCTTTAAATGGCCGTTTCAATTTCAAAGTGTAGTTGTTATTCTTGAAAATTATCAAACAAAGAAAACTTCATCGGGCAAAAATACAGCAGATTGAAATGTTGACATAAAACGCTTTATGTTATGGTTAGATTAAATCTATATCTTCTTTTTCTATTCACCACATATTGAGTGCATATTTTCATAATAGTGTCTGTCTTCCTGATTTTATGATATCTTTTTTTTACTTTACAAACAAACACATTTAACATGCAACTGCTATGGTAACTGCCCGATAACACTTGCCTGATAATTACAATAACAATTACTACAATTTTATCTCATACCATTACAAGTCTTTAATCAAGATGCAATATTTATTTATTTATAATTTCGATTTCGATTTCAATTACGAATAAATTAGACAGCGAATAGTTAAGCACCAACTAAATGAAGTGACGTCATAATTTATATTACAAATGACATCATCAATGTTCACGTCATACTATAAATGTACATGTAATCATAACACAGTCTAGAAGATTTTATGTTTACTTTATTTCGCCGGATTATTATTCGATAAGTGAACAAATTGTTTTGCTTAAAAAATAAGACGCATGTTTGTGTAGTATGTTATTCTCTATTGAGCATATTGCTGAATCATTCGTTTCCTTGACCGAGAAACTTTACACTCATAGTTCAGTATAACGGATTCGAGAATGTGTTAAACTAAGATATAACTTTGTTTACATTTGGCTAGATTTAGTTCACATTCGGCGCTATTTTCTTCAAGTTGCTAAACGTAACATACTCTAAATCAATTGGGAAGAGAGTTTAATCAAGTATTTCCCTTTTAAAAGAACAAACATGTACTAATTGTTCGGTACTGTTACTTATATAATATATGTATATGTTTAATACAATTTGAACTAAGTAGTGCTTTATACGCAGAGACAGATCTTGACATGGATAATCCATTGACATGGGTATCTTAAGATTCAAGGTTCTTTACTCTTTTGTTGAAATTATTCGTCGCACATCGACAAAATGAAATTATTGTCAGAAACATAACCTTATCTGCAATTAGAGCATACATGTACGTAGTAAAAGGGAGTACTCAATTTGTGAGCAAAATAATGGTACTGAATATAGCTGGCTATTGTCTTCAACTAGTGGGTGATATTAATTGGAGTGTTGATGTTTTTCTTGGATCACTTATTTAACAACGGTCTTATAACGCTGCAACCTGACACCTAGCGCTCTTAATTTAGAATGAGTGGAAAATGTGAACTAATAAAAGCAAAGGTGCTTTAGAATAGCATACTTGAAAACATTGATAGTTGTTTGCTTGAAACTTAACACCAAACGTTAAATCCATAACTAGTATACATGCCCATATGTGTATGCTTAATATGTTTACTAATACAAATAAAGCAAATCAATATAGAAATAAGATGTATCACTTCATGTGTACTGGTAAACGTGAATAACCTAGTAGGTAGTTTCCAAGTTCAAAATGTTACCATTTTATGTTAAATGTTGAATTCTGCTTAACGTGGATGGTAGTTCCCACTTTCCTCTAACATCCATGAACAGGCTGAATCGTGCCAAACCTACAACATTTTCAATTTTGCCGTTTTGAACGTTCTTTGGATGGATTGTATTTCTCCCTATTTTTGTACATTCATAATGATAACAAGTCATCTTAAGATTTTTAGAGTAAAAGATACGATGAAAGTTAATTTAGTTTCTATTTTAGTTTTTGTGTTTGTCTTGAACAGGCTCAAACCGAGCCTGCAATTTTTTTTTATAATTTTGCCATGTTGTGCGTTCCTTAGGGACTCTTATTTTCTCTATTTTATCGCCATATCAACGTTGCTTGTGGCGTGTGAAGGCTGTAAAAAATAAAAAGAGTGCTTCCAATAGTGATTCTTTTGACTTCACATTGTGCAAACGCTGAAAGTATATCGAATACATTTAAAAAGTGTAAAATAAATAAAGATATTGGTAACAACAGTATGAGTCGTTTTATGTGTATAAGAAATTAATTAACATGGTGCAAGTTTCATTCATTTTGCTTGATTCTTTATAGACTGTCATCGTAGTTCCCCACGTAAAATGTTTCTATGCGTACACTTGAAATTGTCCTAACTTGAAAATGAGTCCCGCAATAGGGGTCGCTTAGTTTTATAAGCTCAATTAGACTTCTACAAAAAATATATAATTTAGGCCCCTTGAGAGGCACACGGGTCATTTTTGTTACAAAAACTAATTTGTAAAGACGTAAAAACATATACTCAGAATGAAGAAGAATCTACTATATTTACATGACCCCTCAGCAATGTGGCCAAATGAATTATTGAAGATTAGTGTTCTTTTCTGGCAATGCATCTTGAGCAAATATGGCTCTTGATTTAGTCCATACTGTATATACACATATAGTGCTTATATTAAGCAAAGTTTAAAAAAGTTAGTATCATAATAGCATTCCTCTATTTATGCATTTAATATGAGAGAAATTAAATTAAAATAGTAAAAAAAAAATAAAAATAAATAAAACTATAATTTGTCTGTTTTATCACGACTGTATCCTTTGTTATTTAGAATTGATTACCTTTCGTCTAAACGTAAAATATGGCAATAAAGTTCGAGTGTGAGAGGAATTAGTATTGCCGATACATATACATGTTCATATGTGTTTACATAAACAAGGTGATCCCATCGGCGGAGCTAATTTTGGAATTAGGTTAATTTTCATATAACATTTTGTAGCGGTGCCTGTCAAATATGATAGCTCTGTGCATTACAGTTTCTAAGAAGCGTTAAAATCCGTTCCGTATATTTTGAGAGAAGTGTTTAAATCCGTTACGTTAACAAAACTAAGCGTAAGTAAAATTATCGGTAAATTTGCTTAAGTGGACCAGTATCACAGAGCTGTAAAAGTTTATATCCGTCAACAAAACTGAATTAACGCACACATATATATATTTATACACCTATGTAAAATATTAACAGTTAAAGAGAACAATAATCCGCCGCAGTATTTCTTTAAACGATTTTCATTTACGTATATATTATGGACGAACTTAATAGAAAGTTTCGCCGGTGGTTTTGTGTTTGTAGTTCGACAAAATCACTATATAGGTCCGAAAGCGAAGACGATCTTGACGACGCTTTCCCTTGTGCAGTATTTACATATAAAATATAAGTACTGTTTTCATGGTTAACCATTTAAGCTAATAAATTGATTTCAATTCATAAAAACAGTTAACAGTTCTTATATTTTTATGTTTGACTTAACTCTAACATAAAACAATATGTAACCGATTCCCGTTCTTTAAAAGTGTCAATATGCGCTATTTTAGTCCTAAGTAAATAACTTTACGTACACCCGGTTCTCATTTATATAGCTAATCAATCTGTAGTCTAATCCTTAAATTGTATTAAATCAAACTAAATTCAATGATTATAGTGTGCATTTTTCTCAAATAGATTCATGTGATGATTAGAGATAAAACAACGACTTATTTTTGATTTTCGTAACGCAGCCTCATGTAGGAAAACTGACTGTTGGTAACATTAATAATTTGAAATGTTATAATTCTAATAGGATGATTCCCTAAAATTTCTTCGGAACTTATCAGTGTAAATGCAGTTTAAATTTTCTAATAACCAATTAATTAAAGCATCATCCTTAAGATAATACCTGGGTTGGATAAAAAATAAATGAATGCCAGGTCTGATTGCCTCCTCCTCCTAAATTATGTTGACACCGAGAACCTCTAAGAACACAGGTCATAAATTACACAAAATCTAGTAAAAACGATCAATATGTGTTGTAGTGATGGAAAGTAAAAGGCTCTGTTTTCTATAAATAGAATTTAGTTACATATAACCTAGTATTTACTTTTTGATGCTCTTAGTTTGCTCAGGAGTACTCTTTAATGGAATAAATCTCATCGTCAGGATGACACTACCCTTTGAATACAAAGGGAAATAAATCGCAAATTATAAAGACGTTTAAATTAACCAAATGTTTAATGAACTAAGGTTTTTATTTACACTTAAGTAAACATTACTAAAATATTTACTAGTTTGTAGTATGCATTTTAATATAAACTGTTCTTATTTAACCAAAAATGTGAAAATCAGAATAAACTAGTTGTATAAATGATTTAAACCAGTTGAAGGCTGTTAAAAATGTAATAACTGAAAATATGAAAAATAACCTTAATGATAATGTGCTGTTAAACTAATGAATATTAATAGTAGCTAGCCTTTTTTTAATCTTTATCTTTAATCTTTATCAACAAAAACAAAAAATTGTACCAGAGTTACCAACGCCCCCCGCATCAAGCACAACATTGTGATATTTTTAAAGATGAGGTATGGATCTGGACTTTCAGTGCAAAATTTTGATCAATGCTAGATCTACACATTCAAGTAACAATAATTCATTAAAGAAATATGATTAGATAACTCCCGCATATGTGTAAACAGATACACATTTGTTTACTTGTTATCACTATTTCAAAGGCACAAAATGTGACAAAAACAAAATAAATACAGGAAATGGTCTGTTACAGGGCATATTTCATGTGCAGTCATCAATCAAGGTGTGTCGGCAATTCACAAATGACATTTTATTTCAATGGCCCTGACTTGGCATGATACCTTGTAACAGACAATTTGAGGCTTTGACTTTCAAGTGTAACCTTGACCTTTGAGGTAGGGGTCCATGTGTTGCGCATGATAAGTCTTCTTATTATTGTAAACATATGTGCTAAGTTATTTTAAAATCCCTTTATTGATGAAAAAATAAAATATACCGCACATAAAATATATCATAGAACATACCATGTTAAGCTTATGCACTCGCGTATGACCTTGACATTGAAGGTAGGAATTCTGGCTGTTGTATGACACATGGCCCCATTATTGTGAAAATTTGTGCAAATAATTACAAAATCCCTTGAAAAAAATGGACTGCCCTCTCAAGATCATGTTAAGCCTTGATCTCTAAGTATGGCCTTGACCGTGGAGATAAGGGTTCGGTTGTTGTGCACGACACATCATTATTGTCAACATTTGTGCCAGATTATTTCAAAATCCTCTGATAGATGAAATGTTATGGACCGGACACAACAAATACCCTCGAACAGCGATGTTGACCTTTTATTACCATATATGACCTTGATCTTGAAGGTAGGTTTCTGAGTGTTGAGCACGACACATCATCTTCTCTATGTGAACATTTGTGCTATGTATTTCAAACACATTGATGGATGAGAAAGCTATGCACTGGAAACAAAATAAAAGTTATAACAGACTATGTTAATCTTTGACATACAACTGTGGCCTAGACCGTCAAGGCGAGTGGTTGTTGCGAATGACACATCGTCTTATAATTGTGAACATTTGTGCAAAATGATTTTAAAATCCCTTGATCTTGTTAAATGAACTTTTGAATTTCAGAGGGGAGCTAGCATCTACATACAGGTGGCACTGTATATAAGAACTTATCAGATTGGTCTGCCAACTGCCAACTAGCATTTACTTAACAAATGATTTAGGCTTATCAGTTCTTTACATAACTATTCTTAAAGTAGATTATGACTCATGGAAAAGTTAAACATGAAACACTATAAACATCAAAAGATGATAATAATTACTCAGTATTTCAAAGTAACAATAAAAATCAAAATACTACCAAGAAAATAAATATAATTAAAAACAAACATAATTAAAATATGTAAATGTTTAATCTACAACTTGTACTTCACTTAATTTAAAGACCAGTGGGAGTAAAAGTAGAACCATTCTCTATATAGTGCATATAAAAAGCCTTAGGTGCTAAGTTACTGTTAAAGAGTGTATTTATAAGTTCTACAAAGTTATTTAGTTCAATTATAATCAACATTAAACTAGCGAATGATAAGAATGAAATGTCTTTAAAAATACATGTTTGATATCATTTAACTTTAAAATAAACATAAATCTAAGTTAAAGATTAAACCCTTAATATTTCTTCAAAAATATATATGAAGATTTTATATGCTATACTTCTGGAGTAATATTATGCAATATTATGTAATGATTATATAACCTGTTGTAGTTTGCATCCAACTTTACAACATATGCTTATCTTTGACCAGATACCTTTAAAGGAGACTACTTTAAAGGATTAAAGCGATTAAATTATAGAGCATATTTCATGGTGTTTTTAGCAGCGTCCTTATCACAATAAACACAATTACATAGAGAATATGTTTGCAGCTAGATAACAAGTTGTTATTTCAAAATTGCTGTCACCGTATACAAAAAGGGATTGATGGCTGAGTTAACTGGTAATATGAAAACGGCTGTCCAAGCATAAACATCACTCGGAATAGGAAATCCATTTAATGCCAAAATACCTGAAAAAGAAATGAAACAAATTGAACATTGTTGCTTTAATTTTGATCAGACAAATTGTACATTGTGATAAATTAAATAGATTCAGTAATTAAAGAAAGGATTTTTTTATGATTGGCGAAACATTTTGTACAAAAATATCTAACAAAATGTTCTCAAAAGTTTTGTATTCGAAAATAGATCAGACACGCTCTGAGAATTTAAAAATTCAAGAAGACTTTATAATGGGTCCTACATAAAGCCTTGAATTAATGGTTGAATTTAAATATGGGTTATAAGATTCATTAGCCGATGCAAAATTGGCATTGCAAATGAATGATTATATCAAGTTTAAATTTGCACGAGACCTTACCAAGCAATCCTATCGGAAACCAACAAAAAAAATCAGTCGCCGCAACAAAGATGAGATTTCTGGCCACTTTCAATTCGCGTTTTCTTGATAATTTTGTCTTCCGCAGAACTGATGGTGTTTTTCGAAGTTCAATGAATATGGAGATTTGTCCTACAGCAATAAGAATAAAAGTGCAGAAATTGAAGCCAATGAAAACTGATACAGAATATATCCAACCTGGAGGCTTATCTCTTGTTAAAGGCAATGCAACGCATACTCCGTTTTTTGAGTAGAATTTGTTTTCGAAGTGACTTGCGTAAGCCACTGGAATGATAGATAGGATAATGGAAATTAACCAGCAAATTCCGCAGCAGATATACGCCTTTATTGGACCAAACCTCACTGTGCCAAATGGAAATTTAATCACTAAAAATCGGTCCAACGTAATCAAGCAAACAAAACAAACACTGGCTTCAGATGAAACTGTAGACAAAACTCCGGCAGTTATACACCAATTACTGTTTCTCCATTGTTCATCCATTGAAATGTATCTGGAAATATATGATACCGTTTTATGAAAATTACAGGACTTTCTTTTGAAACCTGTTTGCTACTCTCATTCATTCATTATCTCTTTCAATTTATATAACAAGTTAACAAAAATTGATTTCATCTTTCATGTTAATTGTTGAAATAAAAACGGAAATCAATAGATGTCCTATTTAGACAAAAATAATCATAGCCTTTAAGAAAATACTTAGAAATGCAAGGTAAACAATTGGCTACGATGCCACGTTATCTTTACATATTAAGAAACCTAAGACAAAATTAACAAAGCATCTTCTTTCAAAGCAATAAAACAGGAAGCGACTGATTTTGACAAAATTTCCTGTAAATCAACTAATCCGAGTTACGATTAGACTAATACAAATGATTTAATAGCAAATTGAAATATCAAGTAGAGAAAATAACTATGCAGATATCCTGATTTGATAGATTGAAATGGTATTTGAATAGAGGTAGACAATATATTTTTCATCAGCATTTCTTTAGATATAAGTACAAGTCAGGCATTTGTGTACATAATGTTGTTAAAAAATCTCGTACATGTTGTCTGTTAATAAGTACGAAAAATAGTATCTGTTTCTGTAGAGTGAATTTATAAGAAACCAGTACCTGTTTTTGTAGACTAAGTCAGCAACTGCTATTATGATCAGGTACACACCCATAAGGAAATCTGCGACTGCCAGGTTAGTTACAAATATTCCATAACCTATCTGTAGCCTTTCACGATCGCAGGCAAGACGGTAGATGATTGTCAAGAGGTTTCCGCACAATGCAGCTATCCCAACTATCCAAAGCAGTACCTTAAGGATATAGTTTCTCATCAAGTCGTCACATGAAGAGAATTCATCCTTCAATGGTTTGCATTTTTCCTCCGGAACATATTTCGGGCGAATGCAACAGAATTTAAATTCAGGTGTATAAAGCTCTCGAAGTGATGTTATGCCATAGAATATTAATTGTCCGTATCTTAATACATTATTTCCTTCAAAATTGATTTTATGAACTACAGAATCATTGAAGGCATAATTTTCAATTTCCTCAATTTTACCATTAGAAATATCAATACTATTTAACTGTAAGTCAGAGAATGTATACGAGTTAATCTTAGTCAGGCCTGTGCCCGAAAGCTTTAAGCTTATTAATGCTTTTAAATCTTTAAAAGCTTTCAATGAAATATCTGTCAATTTAATGTTTCTATCTAAATTCAAATGGTTTAGATACTGCAGCATGCTGAATACCATATCCGGTAACCGTTGTATTTTATTGTTGCTAAGATCCAACGATATCAGATTACTTAAACTAGAAAAATGTTTTTTATTAATATGATGAATGTCACACGACGACATTTTAAGATAACGCAGCTTGCTATATACCACAGGTAACCGGTTTATTCTGTTGCTACTAAGATCCAATGACAACAGATGTTTTAAGTAGAAGAAAGCTTTTTTATCAATATGATGAATATCGCACGACGAAACATTAAGGCGTATCATATAAATAAAATTCAGATGTTTTTTTCGTATTTTGTTAATTTTAGGATTTTGACTTAGATCAACCATCCTGGCTTGTGTTGCCACTGATGAGATATCAGACATGGAAATGTCGGCCGACCTACAATTAATTACATCACCAACACAGTTACATTTCCGAGGACACAAAGAATCACACAGTCGTTCATCGTCACCATTTCTACAATGCACAACATTGTCACACACTTGTTCAAATGATATACATCGCTTACTTGAAGAACATCTGAACGTTCCATCACAAGGAATATTTGCAGCCTCTGAAACACAAAGGAAGAAGGACTCACCTCCAAGGAAATATACATATCAAACATTTTTTTCTCATGAAAGATTTACTCATAATTCTTGTGGTTTTTCTAACATTGTTTTTTCTTTATTTCTGTTTTCTTGTCACAATATTGAAACTGCTAAGGAATGAACACACCAGCATGGAGAAAGTTAACTATAAAACGTCTAAAAATTACTTAAGATTTCATGTTATTGTCAAATATTCTTATTACTCTTTGCAAAGTCATTTTTATCATTACATTTAAATTTATTGACAAAACAATTATTATTTTCTTTTGAAAAATAGCATCAGAAATGTTCTATTCTTTAATTGCTGTGCATAATATTTGTGTATCTCAAACAAATTTGTATGTACATAACAGGATGTACAGGGCTTTCTTAAGGCATTCTGTTTTATATCACTATTTTTTAATCTTATCAATTATGGTCATTTTTAATCTCTTTCACTCACCGGTACATATTTCTGGAAACCGTCTGAAGCCAGTAAAAAACAGAGAACTCCATCTACTGATGTGTATATCTCTAACAAATTTGTATCTATCAGCCTTGTAAAATGAAAAACTAAAATCTTTTATTACTCGATATATAAAAAACTCAGGCTCTGAAAGTTTGGATAATGCTAAGCGGGCAACATTTGCTGAATTATTACTATTCTCCAACACAATAATCGCTCTTTTTTCTGATTTTGAAAACCGAACTTGTTTAAGAAAGTTTGTTGTCAGTGTTGTATACTTGAATTCAGGTTCCAGGCGCAGATGTATATCTTTTTCTCTTACTTCCAACAAACTGTTTGTTATGTCAAACTCCTTTGATCTGTTCAGACTCTTAAAATAGAATAATCTTACGATACTCTTTTCAGTGCTTGTATAAAATTGTTTTGCTAAATGCATCGCTGCTTCTCTGCTTTCCGAGTCTTTATCTTCAACAAGTAAGATAACTTCTCTATCTGAGTCAATGCAAGCTGAAATTTAAAGCAAATCAAATAAAACATGAATTTAAAAAATGTTGGAACCTGAAATTTAATATCCATATAATTTTCATGGCAAAATTGACCGTAGACATTTGAATATTCAATGACCTTTTTTGCCCTTTGTTAATTTTCATACTTTATTTTTGTCTGGGCCATTTCTTCTAAAGTATAAAAACTATGGACTTGAAGCTTCATAGGATGATAAATCTCATTAAGAAGAAGTGCAGTGCACAAGAACCGGTACTCTGCATTTCTTATGTTTTTGAGTCATTGCCCTTTGTTAATTTTCATACTTTATTTTTGTCCTGGCCATTTCTCCTAAACTATAAAATCTATGGACATGAAAGTTCATAGGATGATAGATCTTATTGATAAGAAGTGCAGTGCACAGAAACTTGTGCTCTACATTTCTGATTTTTTGATTTGTTGCCCTTTTATGCATACAAAAAGTTGATTTGGGTAATTTTTCATTCCCCTTGAATAAAAGAAAAGTAATGATTTTAGTACATTTTCGTTATTTTTTTTTTTCACAAAACTGCTATTTGTTGGTGTCTTTAATGATGTACTTTAACTTTGGCACTTTTATTTATTATTTTTGTAAGCAAATAATACGTTGCTGTTGACAAAGAATGTTTCATAAAAATATCACAATTCTTGTCACAAACCTTGACATTGTTTCTGCAGATTTAATATCATATGATGCTACTTTCATAAAAAATGGTACTAGTGTGTCCTTAAACCCTAATTTGGGAAAGCCAAAGATGCGTTTTACACGTCGTTTTATTACTTTTTCAAATTCCATCGAAAGATAGAAAATTGTTTAATATGTCATATGGCTTTAGAGATGTTTTAAACAATTAAGATGACTTACTACACTCTTGTTCATCTTCTCCTCCAGGACATTCTTTTTTTCCATCACATAGAAATCTTTGTTCAATACAGTAACTTTCAGGACATTTCAATGTATTTTCAGGACAAACGAATTTTTCTGAAAAACATATGTTGTAATAAAATCTTAAACAATAAGTTTTTAAGGGATTATTTGTTAAAGTTGATAATGATAATGACAAGAAGTTTAAAATCTAGTTTCTGTTTTTCACTTTTGAAAGAAATCCAAACATTATGCTAATTTCATTACCCTCAATGCTTGCATATATTCCAACGACAGTAACCAAATCATTAAAACAAAAGAATAAGAATCCAAGTAAGTTAGTTATTTACGTTTAAGATCATTAAAAAGCGTTGAAATATGTTCATAAAAATGAATAGGGTTTGACAAAAATGCTATCAAATAATGATAAACAACTTTATATTCCGATGTACCACAGAAAAATTTATTATGACACTGTCTTTATTCATTAAAACTTACCGTAAATAGACTTGTCTTAACCATTCCTTATTTTACAGGAATTATTCAAATATGATAAATTATGTACAAAATGAGTAGTGAACAGTGTAGACTATGTAAAGCCGGCTAAAATTATCTTCACACGGCTTATGGATAGATGGGTTAAATACTACCCTACTGGTTTAATGTTTAAGTTGATAAGGAACTTTAGAACAGTTTCAAAATGTTTGCGTAAATGATTAAAGCAAAACAAAATGAGAAGACTTTTACAATTGCGTGGTAGAACTAAATTAAATAAATAATCATAATATGGTTGCGTTTGTAAGACCAGGGCTCTCCTAGGATAGGTATCATCAACAACAGTTCTGTAATTGTGAATCGCTTGATACATACATAATGCTAATACAAATTTTGTGAAGAGTTTTATACAGTCAATTTTTTAACAGGCTTGCTATCGTGAACATTTTTTTTCTGACAAGATTTGTAATTCATTTAAGTTAAGTTTATGGGTATGTTGAAAAGATCATACACATGTATTTGTTACTAAAACAAACATTAAGTCAACTAATCTAGTTTATAATACATAATATGTTGATTTGCACAAACTATTTCCTTTCCAAAGTAAAAACAGAAGTAAAATAGAAGTAAAATAATTAACGATCACACCGGAATGCTCTGATAAATATTTTCGTTATCCACTTTTGAGTAATGATTACAAGGGAATGCTTTGAAAATTGTTTTAATTACCACAGTTTCGTAAATGTTCTCCAGATGCACATCCTGTCATGTAACCGCTTGTATCTACGGAATAAACGCACACCATTGACGCTGATATAGCTTTTCCGTCTCTTTCACAAAGAAAAAAGCCACCAAAAACGTCTGCATTGTACTCTATTAAATGGTAAAAAATCATACTTAATTTTAAGCCAAAATCTAAACATGTCACTTACCGAAATGACTCATTATTTGGAAGAATTGTCACCAAGTGAATTAAAAAAGTCTTTTCACATATATTCTGACAATTTTAAGCATAAATTGACAAAACATTTTGAAATACATAATTATGCAAATGCATATACTTTAAGCAAAATTATGACAAGAGACCTATTTATAAAATAATGATCATCATTTCTCCAGAGTTTTATGTATCGATTTTTTTATGTTGCTTCATAATGAATCATTTTGTGTAATGATATTCTCTGATTTAGTGCAGAGAATAACAATTGGTTATACACATAACTAGAAATTCAAGCAAAAGACGAAATTCTTCTCGACGAGATCACATTGGCCCAGTTGCTCAAAACTTCTTTTAAATATTTAACAACGAAATTATTGTTAAATTAACAAAAGATTGTTAAATTCTGTATTCAATTTTGTTGTAAAGTAATCCTGTTGTTAAACATAGTGAACGTTAAAGTTGTGTTAAATTTACAAAGTGTTGTTATCTTTTTTGTTTAATATCTTTGTTAAAATTTCAGTTGTTCTGAAAAAAATAGCGTTATCTTTTTGTTAAAAAACCGGCTTTAACAAACATTTAAAAACAAAATTAATTCACCTCCAGAACCTTTAGAGGAACAGATAATAGGTTGCCCCCTTGCTCTACCACTGTCAACTCTCAATCAGTTACTTTTATCATTTTAACACAAATGGGACATATTTCTCAATCATTTATCGTATTATGAGCCTAGTAACCTCCAAAACAAGCATATGGAATAACAAGAGCACCGCTAGGCGGAGCATTATATGCATGAAAGTGATAAAAAGGATAAAGCATTTGAAAGACATGGGAATTAAATAATTTTACTACCAGGGATGGACAGAATGACGGGATATAACATAATATGAGCAAATTGTGTAGGGCATATGATTAATGTATTCAATACAAGTGATTATTCTATTAAGTTTGACAACTTTTAACAAAATTAAGGTCATTTGATATTGACCTTTAACCTTGTGACCCCAATATAGATATGCATCTTTTATTCAATATAGGCAATCATCCTATGAAGTTTGAACACTGTAAGCCAAATGGAACTTGTGTTATGTTCTGGAAAGCACAATTTTCAGTGTTCAGGTCATTATGACCCTGACCTTTGATCTTATGAGCCTAAAATCAGTAGGGGTCATGAAATGGACATGGTTCATCCTATAAAATTGTACAGCTGTAGGTTGATTACTACTAAAATTTTTGAGCGAAAGTTTTAAGGTTATTATGACCTTTACCTTGTGAACAAAAAGTTAATAGGGGTCTTCTACTCAAGGCCAAATGTGTGGGCCAAATGGAACTTAAGTTATGCTCGAGCAAGCACAAATTTTCAGTGTAAAGATCATTGTGACCCTGATCTTTGACCTTATGACCCCAAAATCAATAGGGTTCTTCTACCAAATATGGACAATCATCCTATGAAGTTTGAATACTGTGGTCCAAATGAAACTTAAGTAATGCTCTGGAAAATGTTTTAAGGTAATAGTAACCTTTGACCTTGTGACCCCAAAATCAATAGGGGTCTTCTACCCGATTTGGACAATCATCCAATGAAAATTGAATATTGTGGGCCAAATGAACTTAAGTTATTAAAGTTATGCTCCTGATATCGTTTTCAGTTTTTAAGTAATAGTGACCTTGATCTTTTACCTTGTGACCCAAAAATCAATAGGGGTCTTCTACCAAATATGGTCAATCATCCTATGAAGTTTGAATATTGTTGGCCAAATGGAACTTAAGTTATGCTCCGGAAACTCTTTTCAATTTTAAGGTAATAGTGACCTTGACATTTGAACTTGTGACCCCAAAATTAAAATGGGATTTTTACCCAATATGGACAATCATCCCATAAAGTTTGAATATTTTTGCCTAAATGGAACGTAAGTTATGCTCCAGAAACAATTTGCAGTTCTAAGGTTATAGTAACCTTGACCTTTGACCTTGTGACCCCAAAATCAATATGGATCTTCTACCAATATGGACAATCACCCTATGAAGTTTGAATATTGTGGGCTTAATGGAACTTACGTAATGCTCCGGAAACTTTTTTCACTTTTAAGGTTATAGTGACCTTTAACCTTGTGACCCCAAATTCAATAGGGGTCTTCTACCAAATATGGACAATCATCCTATGAAGTTTGAATATTGTGGGCCAAATAGAACTGAAGTTATGCTCCGGAAACTGTTTTCAGCTTTAAGGTTATAGTGACCCTGACCTTTGACCTTGTGACACCAAAATCAATAGAAGTCTTCTACTCAATATGGACAATTATCCTATGAAGTTTGAATATTATTGGCCGAATGGAAGTTATGCTCCGGAAACAAAATTGCTTATGGACGGACGGACAGACGGACGGACGAACGCCAGGGGTAAAACTTTCGAGCATACAAAAATCAATACCATAATCAGACCCTTAAAAGACTCATTAATTACCATTATGCAACAGTTAAACATGGTGTTCCATGACCATGTGTTCATTGTGTACTGTCAACAACAATTATATAGAGGATATTTGTTTGTTTGTGTGTAAAATAAAATTTTATTTCATCGAGTGGGCTTTAAAAACAGTATTCTCACGAGTTGCGTAGCCACTGTTTTTAAAGTTCACGAGATGAAATAAAAGTACATCTTACACAACAAACAAACAAATTTTCTTTTTATTTTATGCTTAAAAACAAGTTAAAACGAAATTTCCATAATATTAATGTTAATATTAATATTAAAATCTGTTTTCCCCATTTAGAGCCCCATTTAGTCGGAATTTCTCATGAAAAAGAAGAAGTCTTGAGCTGAAAAATAAGTCCGACAATCAACGTTAAACGACGGTGATCTTATTCATTTTATTAAAAAATATGAATGATCGCTTGTTTTAATAATAAAAACAAACAATTCTTGTAGGAGAAAAAGTCCAACCATCCATCCATATTTCTGTTACTTATTGCAAATTTATATTAGACCTGGCCTTGTAAAATGTAAGCGGTAGTCATTTTTTATAGTTGTTTATTTCAGGGGAGGAAAATAATTGTGTTTGATTCAGAGAGATGTCATTTAGATTTGCTAGTCGCACACCTTTTTAAAAGAAAGAAAACTTATTTGAGGATTGCAACAATCAAAAAATAAATGTTGACAGATGTGATATCATTAACAAAAGCAGCTAGGAAAATGGAAAACTTGGGAGATGGCTCAGGAACGCTGGGTTGTTTACTTGTTCTTCGAGTGCTGACTCTCATTGCTTTTTAATTTTTCATAAAGCATACGGCAGTTATTGCTCGTAGGATACTTTAATATGCCCAAATGTCATCAAGAGCACTTTTGCATTTGGAAGGAATGTATTTTTCAGACTGTAAAAAAGAAACAAAAAAAATAGAGACGAAATTTGGTGATTGGAATTTGAACAAATAGAAGTAAGTTTTCTTCTTTTTATTACTTCTGACATTTAAGTAATTTATCAATTTCAGCTTTGCTGTTTCTTTAAACAGCCTGACATTGTCAGAATTGTCAGCAAAAATAAAATTGAGGTACCACATGGGGAAAATCCTCAAAAAGTAGTTTCGTCATTGAAAAGTGTGAACTTATATTTTGAGAAATTATCAAAAATAATTTTCACGTATTAATCAGTAGTCCACTGAAAAGCATACAATAAAAGTGTTTTAAAGAGTTTAAAAAATAGAATTTATCATTCAGACTTTGCGTTTTTGCAGACATGTTTCCTTACACCCAGTTTTAAGATTTCACAAAAGGATTTAACAAACATTATGTAATGAACACTGATAAAGATGCAAACACAAGGAAAATATACATGTGGGAGAAGCATATGCTGGATCATTTCTACACGATAAATGGCAAGCACTGTTTGTTTTATATGCAGACTGGCTGGTTAATTTAGTTTATCAGACCAGAATACATACTTAATGCATGGTACATTGCCAAATGCTTCAAATACCAAATTAACTTTAAAAGAACATTAGATATGTTAACCCATGTTAAAACGGCACGATAAAATAAATCAATCTCAATTTTAGTCAAGATATTCATAGTTCCATATAGGTTCTGGGGTAAGGGTTACATTATGTAAATGACCAACAGTTAAAAAAGACTTATCAAATGACAAGAGGTTTTTTATTTTTTATTTGTCTATGACTCGATGGTATTTTGCAAACATTGTACATCAGCAGATATTTTGAGTAATCATTATTGAATTAGAGAGTAGTCCGCCATTTTGCGTTTTTGTAAAGGAAAGTTACACACTGCATTATGGGATCAGTTATTTTTATTAGACAGTTAACTAAACGTTAACCACCTTAACGCCTCGTTAACTAACGAAAAATTTGAACAACTCAATTTTTGGCATATCGTTAGTTAACTAATATGTTAAGAGTTAATAACTGTCAAGTTAATTTGTTGTTAAAGCTAACAAAAGTTTTGAACAACTGGCCTATTGTATTTTAAGTTTTTAATGTGTCATTGATACCTTATGGATTTTGAAGTGATGCCGTTGGTAAATAAAAGTCGGCGGCCGGACAGACTGACAGACGGATACTTTGTTTTCACTATATCAGCTTACAGCTTTGTTTTATTGTGATATATATATATATGAGGCATCAACTGGGTAAAACGTTTATCTTAATATTGTACATATACATGAAATTGTTATTGATAGTGACAAAAATATTGAATCAATTCATATCATGTAAATATTGTCATTAGTAGTATGTAAAGGGCATAGAGTATGAACCTGGATATCTGCTGTCACTCGTTTATGATATGAAAGAAATGTGTTGGTAAACATTGTAAAGAGCTTAGTGCAGTCAAGAAATCATTGCTAAACGACTAAATTCCTATGAAAGCATTATGTTTTTCTTTTTCGAGAATTTACCATGACAATAATGAAACAACAGAGTTTCAAAATTTATATTAATTATATGAAGATATAATGATGAAATATAAAATAACATACAAAATGTTACTATCACATTAAATTAGTTTATTTGATTCCACATGTCACTGTTATTTACTCAATTTTCATGCTACATCAAATTTGTACTTTAATAAATATATCATGCTAATACCAGGCTTTTTTAGAATTAGCAGTATGTAATTAGTACGCCTCACAACTTAAAATGGATGATTTACAATTAGAAGGTCATGAAAACAATGTGTGACTTGCTGTCTTACAGATAATGAAAATGGCTTTGAATTTATGACATTGCTAAATAAAAGTGATTTAAGGTTTCTTTCAAACAGTTTAAACATGTTTTGTTTCATTAATAGTGAACATGTGTTAAAAATCTATTAACAATTCTTGTTTGGAACCACTGAATAAAGTAATCACTGATACAGTATAATACATAACTACAGAAAAGATGCCAATTAATTAAGCATGTTTAAAACTTTTCTTTTTTTAAGGTACAGTTTCATATACATATTTCTTATTGTTATTCAAGATCATTTATAGGGTATTGAACAGTATATAAGTCGCTACAAATCTAAAAAATAAAGCTTTTACGAGTACGTTTTTTTAAACTTATCAATAACATATTTTGAAAGACGCACTTGTTTGCACTTGACCTGTTCTAAAAAAATTTAATCAACAAAATCACCATTTTACTGATAATATCTTTAACAAATCGGATGCTTTTAATACTCAACGTCTGACAAAAATATATATGTTTATTGATAAAAAGTTCAAGCAAATCTTTATCTTTATTGATACCCTATACAGGATACAAATGTATGAACCGTCCGTGTAAATATGGATAAAATCTTTATGTTATTCTTTCAATTAAAAAAATGTTCCTTCAATATGTAAGGAGAATATAATGCCTTTTTAAAGTTTAAATACTATGATAAACTTCTCGAGATTGAATTGGGCTTTGACAACTTTATTATTAATGTCAGAATACATAATATGTAAATGTTTATAGGCGCCATACCGTAAGTGCAATAAGGAGGTGCAGGTATCACGTCGAAGTAATTACTAGGTGTTAGAGGTCTCAACTCATCAAAATATGTTGAAGAAGCAGTACCACCTTCAACACGTAATTCTGTGATGTTTGTTCCATCACAAGTGGTTTTTGAAACCATATTATTCCTGGAATTTTGAACGACATATGTCTCAAGTTGTTTGTTTGTGTTTTTTTTTTAATATTATTACGTCACTACAAAATATTTTCAGATGCTCATCAAGTATCATTATCAATATTTGATATACATTTTGATAATGAAAACTTTAAGATATACCACGTTTGAATGGCAGCATTTTAATGTGCCATAAATTCAGTACAAGTGTTACCGAAACTTTACTTCAATAACAAAATTGTCAGACCAAATTTATTCCTTTTAACCCACATTGAAAAAATACTCGAAACGATCTCTTCTTGCGAAGAAAATGTTAAACACATAAATAACCAATGCTAAATTATTCTAATGTAAACACGTGCTTTTACGAAGTATGAGTGAACTAAAACAATTTTGATACATACTCAGTAGTAAGTGCTCCTTGTCGGAATGTTTTTATTGTGCAGTGACAAAACGGATATGCAAAATTATTGCTGTAATTGTCAATAAGAGCTGCTTCACTAAATCTGAACTTGCATTTCTTTTGTACCTGAAATAAAATGGACACTAAACAACAATAAAATTACAAACAAGCAAATCAGATGAACTTATATCACCCGCCGTACATTTCACTTATTGAAGCGTTGGATCCGGAAAGCAGAATGTGTTACTTGACCGGTGTTAATCTAGTTAAAATAGTTCGAATCATTTCTAAGTTAATTTTGTGTTGTGCTAAATGCTTGAACTTTCATAAATATGTTTATTTCAGCCCATTGTGTGAACCTATAAAAAGTGTTTTAAAGCAAAAGATGTTCATGGTTATTTCTTTCCATCTTTACATTAATATATCTATCTAATTAGTTTAAGCCAAGAAATCTCACAGTCACCCCATTCTGTGATTTTACAAATTTACCTCGCAACGATTTAAAAATGGGGAAAATGAATTTTAGAGTTATCTGCCCTTCTGAAATATTGTGATATTATGATAGAAAATATGAAAAAACAAATTTAATGTGAATATATTTTACAGTTTCTCAGAAACGACATGTAAACGAAAATCTAAGCTAACGCCGACGACCAGGGTCATAGCAAGAGCTCAACCTTTTTCTCCGAAGAATTGATCTAATATCTTTACAAAACATGTACATTTTGAAAAACAATATGATACGCTAAAATTTCATTTCGGTATGAACAAATATTTCGTACAAAATTGGCTAAAAACAAAACTTTTTTGTCCACGTGTACTTCTTTTGTTCGAACCTTTACATCACAGCGATACTATCTAATCGATTGCACTTCACTGTATTGTTTCAAGTTGCTGCTTTGTTATACTTTAAATTAATTCAACATATTTAAAATGAATGATTAATCTTATTGACTCGACATTTATTTTATTTGTTAGCAGAAAGAAAAAAAGAAAAAAGCTCAATATAATTATAAAAATGCATTGTACCGAAGGATATTGTCCACACTTTTTGTTAAACACTACATTTATTAATGCATTTTCGGATAAAAATATCCACAAAGATGAATATGTAAGAATTAACTTACATTAACAAAACAAGAATACTTTCCATTCAACACCTCATCTAAAATTGAATCCACTCTTACTCCATAAAATAAACATCGTCTTAGAAAAGTTATTTTTCCAGGTTCCATTCCTTGCGATATGAATTTCCAACCAATATTCTCTGTGAGAAATAAGGAATACCTGTCTACAAGACATCATAGTTAAAGCTACACTATTTAAACCCGTACTATGTATTCAATGACAAGTGTCTTTATAAGTACTTATTATAATCAAAATGATATTGTGTAAGTTAACGAAGATAAAGATAAAAATCAACAGTTAAGGCATGTAGTCGCGGAAATGCCCCAGAAAATGGTATGATTTCATTCAAATATTCATTAAAATAGAAATTTATATTCAAATACAAATTAACCATAAATAACTATAAATTAGGACTCCATGACCGAGTAGTTAATGCCGTTGGCTTTAAATCACTTGCCACTCACTACTTTAGGTTTAATGCTATCAGGGACTTTGTATTCTTTCTAGTCAGCAAACTATAAAGCTAGCTTACGGACGCTCGGCGGTTCCACTAAGGACACCTCTCGTGCCTGAAATAATGTACCAAGGGGCACCTGAAGACTTCCTGGAACAGTTTGCATCAAAGAATAGTTGTAACCCTACGATATTTCAGCACACATAAATTATCTTAAAACTGTAAAATAATTTGGATTGGACGTAGTTTACGTTTTGATTATTACAAACCGTTTCAAATAGCGTCCTTCTATTTTTAGCAGCCCCTCTTTTTTCCAAAAGCAATCGGTCTTATCATGCTGAAGTCGTTTAAACATACAATTCTATCCTTTTCATATACAGGTCAAAATGGATTACTATTACTACTAGGAACAATATCTAAGTGGAACATAATTTCTATTTAGGCTCGTTTTTTGGCTTTTATTGTTATCCTAGATGATATAAACTTTCGCCCACAAGAACACGATAATTCTCGTACAGATAAATTGCCTTCAAGAAATAAATATAATTTAGATGTAAACACTTGATTGCCTTTCACAACATTAAAATGCCTTAAAAACCTATACATGTACTTACTTCTCACTTAAAATCTTTTTTCATTTTCAACCCTCATTTAAAGCATTTAAATAATACTTATATGAACAACATGGATGTACAAACAGTTGTTTATCTTTCGTATTATCTTAAGGATACGTCTAAGACAAACATTGAACATAAAACTTACAAAGTGCAATAACTCTCTTTACATAATTTTGAAGATATTGACCTTTTCATATTTTTCATACTTAAATTTAATTCCCGGATATTACATGTATTAGTAACAAAATATTGGAGAATCACTGGAATGTTGTCATTAAACAGATGCGTTACAAAAACCATAACCCTCCGTAATATAACCTTGGAGTTATTTCATATCGTATATTTCACATATCTTTTACTATCTGGAGCAAAACGGAAGAAATATTAAATATATTAAATTGGAGTTGAAGCGTCACAGATTGATATATCGCATTATGGAAATACACCCTCTATTACATTCTAATTTGTTTATATCTTTGGAATGTGTTATGATAGTTTGGTACGTTTTGAAGCTATACAACCTTAATACATCTTTGCCGATGGTGTTTGTTTATATGAAATTAAATATAGGTTTCTTATTTTAATCAACCACACTGGTGGTTTAAATCATATGCTTGTATACGTTTGACTTCAGATGAAAATTCATATGTCAGAATCGGCTCTCTACTGTCCATGGGCAATGTCCCTTCCAAATAAAATAAACCACTCATGTTATCGTATAAACAAGGTTAACAGGCCTCCAACGTACAAACTGACCAATTCAATCAAAAAATTGGCCCAACAATGGGATAAAGTCAAAATTGATATCTGATGGGCCTTGGAAATGACTTTCTAATATAATCCTAAAGACAAGTTCAAAGTGAATATCTTTTAAATTAGTATTTTCAAAAATGAATGTTGCATGTAAAAGTAAGTTGTAAAGTTAAAAAATTTCATAATATATATAGTGTTTTCTGATTGGTTAATTATCTCGTGGCCATGATTTAGTTATCTCGTGGCCACAAACTTTGTAACTCGTGGCCACGACAAAGTATCTCGTGGTCGCGACTTAGCTATCTCGATGCCACGACTAAGTAACTCGTGGCCACGACATAGTATCTCGTGGCCCCGACTTAGCTATCTCGTGGCCACGACTTAGTAACTCGTGGCCATGAAATAGTATCTCGTGGCCACGACTTAGCTATCTCGTGGCCACGATATAGTATCTAGTGGCCTCGAAATAAACAAAAACACACACACATGTCATCTTTGTGCCACCGTACTTTTGCCATTTTTATATGGACATTTCAAAAATTAAACGAGACAGGTTTTTCTGAGATCGGTTTAGTATAAAGAAACTACAGGTATTGATCAGAAATTATGTATCTCAACATTTTCTTACCTGAACCGACCTTTCCTGCCCATAGATATTCACCACTAATGTCATTTGTAGTTGGAGGACAAAGCCTTTCATCGCTGTTATAACTACAGTCAGGGTAACTATCGCATCTCAGTCGATGAGGAATACATTTATAATCATGGGCGCAGAAGAATGATTCCTTACATAAGTCTAGAGATGCAATATAAAGGAAGTGTTTCTTGATATCATACATTCAACATAGTAAATCAAAAAAAGACGACGTTTTCATTGAGTATATAAAGCGGTTAGATAATGATACATTAATCTCTGTAGTATCTATAATACAATAGTTATTTGAATTTCATGTTTTACTCCAAGATCTTGACAGAAAAGAAAACGAATTGGCAAGACTTTAAACTATTTTGTGATGTGAAATTCCTTTTTGCATTTATTTTAACATGGCAGACGTTTAAGACTAAACGCAATCAAAATGTAGGCGTCTTTTTTATTTTTCGTCAGAATAAATTTCTTATTATTATTAGATGCTTTAAAAACCCTTCAACTTCAGATCGGTGATGCATGCAGGTTTAATAACAAATTTCTAAATGTTCAGTTTACATTAATACAAAATCATATACAAACTACAATTCATTTCATCGCTATTGTCTGAACAGTCATATTTAGCATTACAATGGTCATCCTCTGGAATACACTGTCCGTTTTTACAACGAAACTCATCCAGTTCGCACATTCGGTTATCTAAAACTATTCGTAAAATATTCATTTAATGATTCAAAAGAATGGAAAAAGAAACAAATTTCAGCCTTTAATGCAGTGTCCATATGAGCCTAAATTAAATAAGGAAACGTTAGTGTATTTAAAAAGAATAGGCTATTACATAAAGAATAAATACTGAAACATAAATTCAACAATTGTGCCAAGAACCCATACCCTACAATAGCATAATTATATCTGAATGTCAATCATATGCTCGACAACAAGATCGGGGTAAACAGAAATTTATTTGTAGAAATTAACCTATTCTTACAAATTTCATTTTATGAGGCAAGATTGATATTTGAACATTTTTGTGTCGCTTTTCTTTAGGGTGAACTCACATCAGTAATACGTATTTAAAAGCATTGTTTAACACGTAATAGGGAAAATACAACCCCCGCTTGTTTAATGATCTTCATTTTATTGCGTTATCTTTATCATTGAGATGTAATTCCTTACCGCAAAATTCATCCGTACCGTCCGCACAGTCGGATATTAGGTCGCACACTTGACTCAGGTTTATACAATTTCCCCCATCACATGAAAATTCAGTGTCATCACATGCTACAAACAACTTTAAAGGTATTATAGATATATCTTCATTTTTCTTAATATGGACAAAATGTTCTTTTGTTTAAAATTATATAATTTCATAGTTGATAATATTGTATCTTCGAAAGGTAAACAAATGTAATGACATAGCCATGGTTTATGGGACTTTGTGAAAACGAGCAATTTTTTTCTTAATAAACATCAGTTTTAACCATCGAAAGATTATCTGCAAATTAAATAAATAAAGGCTAACTGTTGAAGTTATAATGTCTTAAATATAATTTATGCATGTTAAACATATACATATTATTAACAGCGCCGAAAATGAGTTTATTTCCGTTCTTTAAAAAGGGGAAACATACGATTTTACTCTCTTAACAATTTATTAAGAGCATGTTTGACGATTCGCCACCTGAAGAAAATAGCGCTGAATGTGAGCTAATTTGTCAGAAAACTAGGCAAATGTAAATAAAGTAAAGTAACTGTTGTAAGTTGTAAAGTTTTAAGGCATAGCCAACACTATGGGTGTTAAATTTCTCGGTTAACAAATGGTTCAGCAATATGCTCATTGTATTGTTTTTGTTGTTTTTTCTTATTATTATTATACAAAATTTTAGATTAAAATTAGTGTTATTTTATGGCTTCATGGGACTTTTACAAAATACAAAATAAACGAACTATGCACAATTGACAAATAAGAGCATAAGTGTGTAACTAACACAACACAAAATTACCAATATTGTTGAACGAACAACTGACTTCGTCTGAGGCATCAAGACAATCGATGACGTCATCACATTTAGCTAATATTGATACAGATTCTTTGGTTTCTGTACAGCGGAAATAAGCCCAGGGTTTGAGTCGATTAGGAAAATATTTTTTTACCATTAATTTGCTATGTTTCGTGAGAATGTGATCTAAATAAAAATATCATAAATATCAAGAAAAGTATTGCAGACACTATCATCAAAACATACACTAAATTCGTATTAAATAGAATAAGATATTGATTCAATACCTACACATAAAGCGTTTTACTGATCTATATATTAGTATACATGTATGGAGTATTTTTCACTTAACACAATTAATCTTTCGACAAAAGTCATTTTCCTTATAATTTAATCCGACAAAAGTGGAAAGTTAAATCAAAGCTCAATATCAAATTCCTTGGCATTATGTCGAATAATTTACAAACCTGGAATAGCTTTCTGACATGACATTTCATCTGAAAAGTCTAAGCAGTCAAAATTCCGATCACACCAATGTACCCTAGGTATTGACGATCCATCAGAGCACTTAAAGTAGTATATCTCTTCAGGAATTCTGGTGTAACCATTGTCTAAATTAATGATTATACTGTATGTTAACTATAAGACGGAAAATCTCTGTGAACAAAATTTAAACTTTGAATTTATTGTTGACACATTTCATTTTAACGAAATTATATTTCGGTTGAGCAGAAAAGGAATAGAAAAGAACAGAACAAGTGTGTATTATGTCACTTCGGGGTTACGTATACTTTAATCTGAAAGCAATATTCTCTTCTATTTTGACTAAAAACAGGAACTTCTTGTCAACATAAATTTCAATTTGATGTAAAGTGTTTAATCTAAAAGGGCATTTGGTGTGCCATAGTACAACAAGACCACAATGTTCAATTTCAAGCCTTAGCCTGTGTAATTGCATTTTAACCAATTAAGTCGGAAAATATTAAAACAATTATTTATTTATTGCTTAGTATAATTTTGTTCATATACAATAAATAACTTCCGATGCAAAGAGCACGGCTCCAAAAAATATTCGCCTAAGTCTTTAACATAAAACCACTAAATATCTTTCGAAGTAAGAAGTAATTCTTAAACACGGAAACTACTTGTATAGACATGCGACACAGCGGAAATGAAAAATTAGAATTTGATATCATGTCATATCAAAAATAACATATTTTATTTTATGCTTTTCAGTGGATTACTGATTTATCCGTGAAAATTATATTTGGTAATTTCACAGTGAAAATTATCAAAATATAATTTCACTCTTTTCAATGACGAAACTACTTTTTAAGATTTTCCCCATGTGGTACCTAAATTTTATTTTTGCTGACAATTCTGACAATGTCAGGCTGTTTAAAGAAAATGCAAAGCTGAAATTGATAAATAACTTAAATGTCAAAAGTAATAAAAAGAAGAAAACTTACTTCTATTCATTCAAATTCAAATCACCAAATTTCGTCTCTAAATTTATTTGTTTCATTTTTACAGTCTGAAAAATACATTCCTTCCCCATGCAAAACTGCCCTTGATGACATTTGGGCATATTAAAGTATTCTACGAGCAATAACTGCCGTATGCTTTATGAAAAATTGAAAAGCATTGACAGCCATCACTGGAAGAATAAGTAAAACAACCCAGCGTCCTTGAGCAAGCTTCCAAGTTTTCCATTTTCCTAGCTCCTTTTCTGAATGTTTTCACATCTGTCAACACTTATTTTTTGTCTGTTACAATCCTAAAATAAGTTTTCTTTCTTTTAAAAAGGTGTATGACTAACAAATCCAAATTATATCCCTCTGAATCTTACACAATTATTTTCCTCCCATGAAATACACAACTTTAAAAAATGGCTGCCGCTTACAATTTACAAAGCCAGGTCTAATATAAATTCGCAGTAAGTAACAGAAATATGGATGGATGGTTGGACTTTTTCTCCTACAAGAATTGTTTGCTTTTATTATTTAAACAAGCGATCATTAATATTTTTTAATAAAATGAATAAATATCACCGTCATTTAATGTTGATTGGCGGACTTATTTTTCAGCTCAAGACTTCTTGTTTTTAATGAGAAATTCCGACTAAATGGGGCTCTCAATGGGGGAAACAGTTTTAATATTAACGTTAAAATTATGGAAATTTCGTTTTAACTTGTTTTAAGCATAAAATTAAAAGAAAATTTGTCTGTTTGTTGTGTAAGATGTAATTTTATTTCATCTCGTAAACTTTAAAAACAGTATTCCCACTCGTGAGAATACTGTTTTTAAAGCCCACTCGATGAAATAAAATTTCATCTTACACACAAACAAACAAATATCCTCTATATGATATATAGTTGAATAGTTTGCTAAATTTTGCTTTTTGTGTGCAACAAGTATTAATAATAATGGACTCTTTTTGTCGTATGCAACTTGTTACGAAGTGCATTCCTATATGGCGCGGTCAAGTCATTCTGAACGCTTGACAATCTTAACGAGCTCGATAAATTATCAAATTAAAACAAACAGTTTGACTACTCTGGGGCTTAGAAGAAATTTCAATTGAAAACAAAACTATGAAGCCGTCAAAAAAGACACAGTTTACATATTTAAATCTTGCACGAATGACATATATATATTGCAAATATCAAAATGTTGAAAAAAAACTGGCATCACCATAAAGCTTTTTTGACATTAAATTTCATAAAATATGCAAAGTAAAAATATGAAATATAAACATATAAAGTAAATTTAAATCTATTTGGTCTCGTCATAACAAAAATAGTTATAATGAATTAAATACTAGTTAAAGAAATATACTTTTTGTGTTAGTTCCGTCCTCTGAAAAAGGTTTCTCACAAATGAAAAAATCAACTAAGTTATCTAAACAATCTTCCGTTCCCCAAAGTTCTTCGGTATTGAAATACTCGAATAACGTATAAGTGCAATCCCCAGTTGAAGGGTGTCCGGTTTTCCTATAATGATAAAAACAAGCTAAAAACCATGTAAGCTATTCAATTGCAATAGTATCGTATGGTTAACTATAACTAGTAATTGTAAACTGGAATATTAAAACAAAAATTGAAACTTTCGAAAAATACTTTAAAAGTTATGAAATAAGTAGGAAGTGTCGTTATCATCTCTTTTATAAAAAAAATGCAAATCTATTTACTTGTCCATATATCAATATATTTAACAGTGAGTATTGAATGAGTGAAGTACTTATTTCTGGACGTTTTCAACATTGGTTTGCTTTACATGCTATATATTCGTTATTCTTGTTTTTCCCGCCGAGTTTAACAGGATGCCAATTTGGTTATATCTCGGCCGTCGATTCACTTACTCGGCTTACACGGATAACTTATCAATATATACCTCATTAGTCCGCACGCAATTAACCGATTACTAATCCCACATGATTTCTTTTTCATCGGTGATCGCGGAAGATACATCAGAACCAGCAATCCCACGCCGTATTACCGGCGCCAAGGATGGCAGATCTCTGTTGTAATGGCAGATTTAAGTCGTATTTTGAAGCGGTGCATGCGCATAACAATTTCTATAGACTGCACCTAATTTTTTCTTCGACCGGATCAGATTAAACGTCTGTAAAACTTTCAAGAAAAGACTCACAGGGTAGATATTTGGCTTGCGTGACCCCAATGGATGAACGTCTATATTAATAACATTAAATCCTGCCATTTAGTTAAAACTTGAGATATTTTGAACAAAAAACAGATATTTTCACGGATTTTTCCAAAGCTGTCACTTTTAACCTGCTCAAAATAGTCTAAAAACAGAAAACGAGTTTAAAATTACCTAATAATATCTCCGGTCAATAGACAATAGTTTCATAGCAATGAAATGGGCAGTATTTGTGTAATATAATAATACCAACCAAATTTATAACCTACCTCTACCGAGCAGTAAATTTAAGCTATCTGCCATCACTGCAGTGATCTGCCATCACTGGCGCCGGTTATACGGTGTGAATCCCGTCATTATTTATCCGATACTCTTCCTATTAATCTCTGTGGGTTTTCCACATTACAGATACATTATGGAGGATAAGCTTGTTGAAACATGTTTGTTATATCAATATAAATAAAACGATGAATAAATAAATAAACGAACGAACGAACGAATAAATAAAATAAATAAATAACCAATCTTTTACATTTTCTGAAATTAAATGTATTGTTAACGAGTTAATAATATACACATAAATAGTATATATACTTCATGTTGATTTTTGTTGGACCTGTAGATTTCTGGTACCTTACCTTAGATAACCTGTCAACAGTTTGATATATAAACATTTTTTATTTCTAAAAGACAAAATTTTAATACCAAAATCTTGAAATAAGTTTGTTGCCGTTTATCCACTTAAAACCCATCTTCCTGTTTTTGTCCTGAATTCTTCTTAAACCTTTAGAAATCAAAACGACAAATCAGTATTATATACATTAGATTGAGAAATGCATGAGAAAATCATGCCATTTAGATATTTCAATAAAATTCCTGAATAATTGATAAATTGTAAACAATTCTTGATTTGTTTTTATTTAAGTAATAAACAGTTGTCAGAGAAATTTCTAATTAAAGTATAGAAATATGTCCACTAGTTGTATTATTTATCTAAGCCATACAGAGGTATTAGATGCATAAATGACACTTTTTCAAAAGGCGCTTTAAATTTTTTTTATATTATTTTACTGAAAAATATTCTAGAATTAAATACAAGAAATTACAAAAGTTTACCATCTTATTTGAAAAATATTGACAATTTAAGGTTCAACATTTGAATCGTTTTTAAACAACAACAATAACAACAACAAATATGTTTTCATTAACTGTAGTAAAGTTTCACTGAATTAATATTTTCCTTACTTGAAAAGTGATTACAAAGAACTATAGTTTTTGAATAACTTCAAATAAATCAATGTTAAATGTGTATGAAAATATTTTTGTTTGGCTATTTGAGACAAATACTTGTCATTTTACATCAAATGAGAAGAGGATGGGGTCAGAATTTGTCAAAGGTAATCGAGGCATCAACTATTTTAATAATTGTTATCTAGAAAGTATTCTGAACATTTGAACAAAATATAAAGAAAGTTTACCTTGTCGATTTTAAATTATAATAATTTTAATTCGTTATACTATGAAATTTCATACATTTCACAGTAAAAATTATAAATACTTAAAATATTAAATATAAATTAAGAAAGAAAACGATAATCTGACAAAAACAAAAAGAAGAAAAAAAACTGAGAAAAAAATGCATCTTCTGGGGTTTGAAAAACCACGCCCTAACGAAACCTTTCTCCTTACTGTAAATGATACTGCATTAGGCATCTAATACTTAAATGAAAAGTTATGAAACGCAAACACTAAAGAATACAATCAAAAAGTTGACAGTAACAAGGATGAAAAGGACCATGTGGCCAGGTAAGGGGTGTAAAATGGAGCATCTATGGTAGAGGGTTACTTTCAATTTACGAGGGATGAGAAACTGGGACAAACGAGTGTCACCGTAAATAAACAAAATTAATGATAAGAACACAGGATGTTACCGTCTTGGAACAATAACGATTACTACCGTACATGCATGTCATGACTTTAACAGAATTACTATTTAAAAGATCAATCTTTACACTGTGCGTAAGTCATTGTCCTAACATAAAGAAATTTTCACGACGCGACCAGCTATGCAAAACCGACCGGATGTAGCATTTTCTCGCGCATGCACAATCTGCGTAGGGCAAACATCATCGGCCTACATTGAAATTAAGTAGAAGTTTATAGACAATTCTGAATTAGTTGACGTTAAAAAAAGTATGATAAATAAATTTGATCTAAAGCAAAAGATGCTTTAATAGCTTTGTGGCCAAGATTGTCTTGAAACGACACAAAAAAGGTGTTTTGTTTTCTTACGAATTCCCTAGCGACCACACTTGAAAATCCTTGAAATAATTGTTGTAAAATGTGGAAATACATTAATTATCAAGAAAAATGTTTGCTTTATTCTTCTCGAAATAGTTCAACATATGAAATCGAAGTTAAGGTTAATCACTCCTAATGCATTACTTCCTCTTTGAAGAGTATTCAAAGGGCAACTTTTTTCCTTTCATTTTTTCTTATTAACATCATTTATGTATCTCTCAGATCCCTCATGGAAGAAAAAAATGTTTGATTTTAATTATATAATTATTGTAGGTATTTGCTTAATAATGCAAATATGATACAAGATATTTTCAAAGTTAAATAAAATAAAAACAACACGGTTAAGGTATTTTATATTTGCAAGATCAACCAAAATACTTTTAAGAAAATTTAGCAAACCTTGAGAACAGCACCGCATTGTGGTAACTTTTAAGGATATTTTGAATAATGCTTTTTATATAGGGAAATGGTCAAATAAGTGTAAAAGTGCGGTGGGGTTGGGTAACTTTTTTATACATTTTAAAAACATTTTGTTTAGAACAATCATTTTGCTCGTGTAATAGTTATCTGAATATTATTATTTATTTCTTAACAATGAGCAATAGGAAAACATTTTTCACAGTTATGATATTGTAGATTATTAAGAGTTTCCTCGTTTCTGAAAAAGCCCTTCTTATAGCAACGTTTAGTTCAGAAAAATTTCCATAACTCATTAACCACACGTTAGATTTTATTTAAATGTTTCATACAGGTGAACTTTCATGCATATAAATGTCCAATGTGGTCAATTTTACAGTTCTTTATAATGCCCATTTGGAGTGGTCTACCTTAAAATCACGTTTATTAAAGCATTTGAGTATGAGAAAGTAAAACCCATACAATTTGCATTCAAGACATGTAATTTAGTTTAATATTGACATTAGCAAACTTTTGTACATCTTCACAGGATATATATCCATTGACGCATTTCAACACACTTAATGCAACAGATGGATAATTTTTATAATTGTATACGAAGGTTCTTTTGCCAGAATCGATGGTATCGGTCAGATTCTTCTATATTTAATGTTTAAAAGTAGAAATGTCCAAGTAAGTTACTTTAATTCATCGCTTATTTATCAAAATAAAATATTCTAAATGTATAGTTGATCATTTATATTATATCAAATAGCTTATGAAGTTGTTGAATGCTGATAACAAATATTATTTCGTTATTACTTTTTGCCCTACGCAGAATGTGCATGCGCGAAATGCTTCTTCTGTTGCTATTGAAATATCGTATTGTAAAGAATTCTATAGCTGAATGCTTATAGTTACACATACAAGAGAGGAATTATTCCCATTTTTGTCCAACGAAACACAGCTTCATGTAAGTAACAAAAGGTAAGGGCGTTTGGGATTGCATAATTATACACTCTTATAAAAACTATAATCTATATTGGTTTTATTCTCTTAAATAATAAGTAACTAATCTTGACATATTTATAGTGACGCACATTTCAATTTTATTTAATTCCCAATTTATTGCTTTTGATCTTTGTTAATTCTTACGTGACCTTTTGGTAATTAATAAGCTAATTCATTTTTGCTGGCACATATTTTAATCTATCGCACTACTAAGAAGAATTCCACGTATACGTCACTACTTATTAGGTAACATGCATGAAATGATATATTTCTTTACGAACAGTTGTTCAATTTTGGTTTAACTCATATAAGAGTTAAAATGTTCTGAACCATATTCACCAGTTGAGAGTTGTTCAAATATGAATGCATCTATGCCGGTAAAATTTCATTCTTGATTTCACTGAACGTTTTATTTTGTCTCTGAAAAATTAACCTTCAACAGATATACAAGGGTTTAGTCTCCGGATTAAAACTTTGAAGTCATTAATATGGCTCTTTGTGTAAACCAAAAAGACACTGGAATATTGCAAAAGAAATGTGTTTGCACTGAACAAAATTGAGACCTTTAAAGTGTTTTTTTTCCTTTGGAAACAAGAAGAATCACAATGGGGCAAGGTCATGGGAATACGAAGGATGGGGAGCAAAACGACTTGCACCAAAAAAGGTCTTGTGCGATGACGCGTTATCATGCAGCAATCTGATATCGATCAAAACCTGATGCAGGACCTTGTTTTCGGAAGAACTGTTTCAGAAGAACTTAAGATTTGTGAAATTTTGCATTAAACATATTTGCCTTGAGGAACAGCAAGCTAAATGGATGGTCCCTGAGTTGTAAAGAAACTGGCATGATCTACTTTCTTTATACTGATCGTCCTTTATGCAACGTATGGTCATTTGAAAGGCTTTTTAATCCAAATCTTGTTTTGATGTCTTCGTTTTGGCTCAAGAAATGAGCCCATTGTCCGACATGTTCCGACGACTGTTACAAAATACCGTTTATTGTAATTTGGATACTTTTTAAGCAGCACTTAGCGCATTGAACGCGAGCCCTTTTCTGATCAGCTGTCACCAAATTGGGAATCCATCTAACACAGATCTTGTTTTTTCAAATCACGTTTGAGAATGGTTTGAGCTGCTTTTCATGAGATATCAACGATACTAGCTTTTTGCATACTGGTGTTTTTACATCGTTATTAACTATTTTTTTCACTCAAGAGACGTTGCTGTTTTAAGCCGACGAGAATGAGATGCAACTTCAGTCGTAATAAACCGACATTGAATTTATCAAACCAACGTATAACTGATGAAAAAGATATCTCATTTGATCCAGATGCATAATGACATATTTCATCAAATGTGTATGTACACCCTATGCCAAAGAGACATCGAGTCTTAATATTAGACCATATTTCAAAGGGACATTATTGTACCAACTAGTTTTGTATTACATTTTACGAGCAAACATTTTATAAACAGCTAAAGTGAACGGATTTCAAGGAATGTGGTTGGAATCACTGTAAAGCTAACATTAGTATTCATTTCCTCGTGTTTTCTGCAATATTCAACAATATAAAGTTCATATTTAAGCACTCGCCGTAAAAGACCTTGGAATTGAACCATATCAATTAAAATCATAATCATACCATTCGCCCATCTTTTGATATAAACAAAAAATTACCTATATGAGCTCCATGACGCTTTTTATCACTCTTTAACGTCTTACGTTTTTGATTGCGTAGTAAGTATTGGAGGTAGTTCATTTCGTTTCTTGATGTTATAGTAACAAGGTGTTCATTGCGGTAACTGCATTTATCGTTTGCAATATCCCATGAAACCGTTTCAGAGAAAGTGGTGTAGCATTTTTTGAATAGCTTTGAACAAGCTAAAATATAAAATAATTCCGTTAAAAACCTCTTTTATTGGTTCGTTTCATTTGTATATTTTTCTTGAAGCTTTCTACAAAAAAAATGGCAGAAGTCAACTTTATTGTTGTAATCTCATTTAACATAGAATTCGAATTGAAACCTTAAGTTTTTTTGTCCACCTTAGTCATTTTATATTTGAACTATTTTATATACTTAGGAAATATTAAATAACAAAATTACTTTATACAATTATAGTCTGAAACTTTATTTAATGCTGCACGCCTCCAGATGAGCAAAACTATTTCGATAAAATCAAATCTGAGAAAAATGTACTACGATAGTAGAAAAGGTATAAAGATTCAAAATCCTAGTAGAAATTTACATGTTATGTGAGATTAATTTACGTAATTGTCAGTATGTATAACTATATTTCTACTTCGTTACTAAGCAGTAAAGGCTATTTTTGCAAATTTGAACTCTTTACAGCAATAAACATAGGTGGTAAGTGCCATTGATAATGTGTAAATTGTATTCTTTTGGTAACTTTACAATATTATACTGTTAAATACATTTTTTAGCATAAATCTGGAGGCGTGCTGTTTAAGTAAATGTGTGTGTGTAAATTTGTTTCATAAACGGAAAAACAATGTTCGATTCGTTTTTAAATATGTTTTATATTACATATATATTAAGTTTATTATTATATACCCGACGATTCTAATTCCAAATTCTTATTCTTAACCTCTGTGGTAAATCTTTGAAAAGAATGATCTGACAGTTTGTATTGTATTCGGTATCCCTTCACTTGCCCCTTGATTTCGTCGCCGACCATAAAATTAGGATAGTACAAATGAGGTCCATAATGCAAAAGAGTCTGTGAACCTTTTGATTTGTATGTCTCTGGCGGCAAAAATTCATTGCAAAAATGTTTCACACCATCAAGATCTGTTATGGTGAATCTTGATCTGTATGGACCTATTTAAATGTTAAAAGAATATTAATTAGTGTAACCAAATGATAATAAGATCCTTTTCATCCTTTTATGAATTGAGAAATATTATTGTTCTTCGTAAAAGTATACAAAAATTATTGTATGTACTTAAAAACGATTTGCAAGCACAAACATAAAAGAAAAGTAGAGATTATGTGTGCTTGATATAGCTGATATCTCAATATTTTGCATTAGATTGTTTTACTGTGAGAGGAAGATCTCAGGTATCCCTCAGTACATTATTGCAGCCAGCCGCGAGATGGTACCCGAGTAGAACCACCAAACATCTGTAGGCTATCTAAGGCTCAAATGATAGAACATAAAAATTCGAGACGGAATTGGAACCTAGGGCGATGAGGGGCAAGTGATTTGAAGACAACCACCTGAACCATTCGTCCGCATACACCCCTCTTAGTAAAAGGCAATTGCTAATCCAATACCCGAGGTTCCCATCATATAATGACAATTAGACATTTCGGTTACAGAATATCAGTAATGATAAAGGCTACCAGTACATTTCTAAACTCTGTATAAAACTTGAGTGATTTATGCGCCTACCTATAGCGTGATGATATCGATAACCATGATGGACTTCTTCAGCTGAAAAGAACAAAGAAGACCCTAAGGTTTGGATATTTATGTACATTTATAATAAAAAAGCAACATGATAACTTATTAAACAATATTGAAAAAGATGAGACACAACAATCGAACGGAAGGAATTACCTGACAATTTAAGAAATGTTAATATTATGTAATATGTACTTAACAACTAAACGGAGGGAAATTTAATACACTCAAAATTAAAATCATCTTCTTTTGTAATCTCCTTACAATATTGCTATACTTGTACACATTAACACAGCAAATAAGTAAAAAATGCATCGAAGACATATACTATCAAATCAATAATAACTTCTATATCGTATAAAAAGACATATTGGATATACATCTATAAAACTTAGGTATCACTATAAGCATGACTCTCAGGTACAATGAAACTTGTTCTTCACGACAAATGCTTCATTTTTTCTAACCTGAAGGTGTCTGTGTGGGTTAGGCTCTATGCCACTTTTTATGTTTAATCTTTGTGATGGCAAACGCAACCCTGCCAAGCTTAAAAATTAAGATATACCTCTAAACTAAAGCTAGGTATTTCTTCAAAATAAAATGATCATTTCAAGCTAATTACATTTTGAAAAGCTCAATAGAACCGAGTCTGCAACATTTTCATTTTTGTTGTTGTTTTATTTGTTTAAGCGTTTTTCGAGACAGACATCAAATAAATTTCTTTTCAGTGTAAAATGAAACCGATTAATAAATTAAAGCAATTAAAATATCACAGTAAGATACGCAGCTGCACAACTTTATATATAACTGTACAACTTTATATATAACTGTTGGTATGTGTTATATGGCATGAGCACAGTTGTGGTCATATGGCGACTTTCAAGCTTAACCATGAATATACTCAATCAAATCGAGCCTTCACATTTACAGTTTTGTCTTTTTGGCGTTCTAAAGATATTCCGTTTTTTTTTTGCTTTACTTTAATTTCAAGCTTTATTGGTGATGGATTCTCAGGTGCCCCTTCCTCTTTGTACTGTTTCAGACATGGAAGGGTAACTTCAGCGGCGAAGAAAAGTGGTCTAAACTCAAAGGCCTTAAGCACACGGCCATATATGCCACAGAAGGCAGTGAAAAGGTAATTGACAGCATCAGATGAAAGACTGTTTAACAAAATCGGAGAGAAAATTTGGTAATGAGGAAATCTAAAGTAAAACGACATTTGAAAAAGGTATGCAAATGACTAGTGTGCTGTGTTTCAGTTTATGTACAGAACAAGAGACGGAAAAGGAATAATGTGCAGCATCTACAAAATTTCGCCGTAATGCAGTCGATTCTTTCTAGAATTCATCAAGATAGAAATAGGGGTTCATTTATATAACCTTGAAGACAAGAGTGTGGCCATGAAGGGTTTATGCGGGTCCGTCATCATCACTTTCGCCAAAATAATCGGAGTAAAATATGAAAAACAAAGTCAGGCGATATTTAACGAAAACATACCCAACACAGGACCACCAGCACAAGGAGTACAGCAAGACACCAAACAGGGTGAGTAATACTTTTCCTGTACTCCCCAAGTGAAGGCTTTTCTTCGCGGTGTAGGTTCTAAGATTATGCTAACATCATAATGGTCATTTAATAAAGGAAGCGTTTATAAAAATATATATACAAAGCCAGCATAGGTGCATCTCACACTACAGTGTTTAACTTGAAAGGTGTTACCCCGAGACGTTGCACAGTGATTGAGGGTTGCAACTTAATTTTCACCGTAGAATATTACTCGTCTGTATGTTGTTAGATTTGCTATTTTTTGTTTTTGTTTACGCGTTTTATCTGTAATTTGAGATTTCACCCCGAATATACTATAAACTTCAAAATATATATAATTAGAATATAAAATTAATGTACTTTTCATTTAAAAGCAGTGTTGTGTTTTAAATATCCTTTAAAATCAGAACAGTCGACAACCCTTGTAAACAAGTGTTAGGTATTCTTATCTTCTCTTTTTCAATGTAAAATGTTCAATATTTTGGATTATTCATTCCTTTAATAATATTATTTAAATAACCTCTTCTACAAAATAAAAGGCCAAATTTTGTTTTTTTACTTTTAATGTGACGTATTACATCCCTCACAATGTACCCAACTATAAGCATCATCCGGTCAGAATCACTGTAACGAAAACTTGACGGTGAATCTGTGACAATTCCAAGGGGCTGTCAGAGCGTGAAAAATGGATGTCTCACTTTTTCATCTGTAGCATTATTTCTTAAATATATGCCATTTAACATAAGAAGCCATGAAATCAAACAACTCTAAAAAAATTGCCGTCGTATATTGATACCCCTTTAAAGCTTAAACGTGCAACAAAGGAACTAATCAAAGAAGATACACGAATGACATTATGCTCTACGGCGTATCACTGGTGCTGGTTATTTTCATTTGGAAGAAGGAACTGAATACTAAATGAAGAGTACTTCAGCAATGGCAACGGAAATAAACAACAGAGACATGCCGTAGAGAAATTAAACTTTGCTTTTACAAGAAAAGTAGACACTGAAGTTTTCTTAACCTATTACTAGTGCTGACTGGTGTATATAACTTTGATTCAAAGGTTCAAATAGTTATTGGTAACTCTACTATTATATCTTGCAGTTATTTGCTTATAATCAACAATTGTGCTGGAGTTTGACTATGGCAATTATAGTCTATTTTAAAGCTTTCAAGTTTATTTCTTATTTCTTGCCCAGGCCATGGGTTTTAAGGGATATCAGTTGGGACATCATGGGTGAATAGCTTTGTACCTTTTGGTGTTTCCTTTGTTGTGTTGTTCAATGGCAATGTTTTTGAACAGATTATCCTCTTATTCTTCTGTTCGAATTTTTGCCGTCTATGACTACCTTTTGTAACTTTACTTATCATTCGTTCTATAAAACTTTATATTGTTATTAACATCTGAATATTTTGTTTCATAAAAAAGAAACAGACGGCCATACAATCATCCGATAAATTACAATGCTTCGTTTAACCAAATTCTTTCAATTTCTGCGTTGAAATTATATGACACTCCATACGTTTTTGTTCTTTTGTTTTCAAAACAGAGTGAAAGAGATAAATTTTTCATCATATAGTCGCCCGTTTGAAATGAGCATATGTCTTTTTTTTACAAATATCAGGTAACAGTAGCTCGCTTTTTTCTATACATTTCACTTTATATAATGTCATTTACAGCACAGTTTTGATCAGGCAGAATATTAAATAATTACATATAATCACCAGCAATGATTACCTCTGTGTCAGTATATTAATAAACCAATTTATCACATGCCCGTATTGCTTTTGCGACTCCGTAAATATGGTACTTTATTTAATTTTACCCATGAAATATGGTGCTATATCAGTCAAATATATTTCATATTTTTTAAAAATAAATATGAAATATAAATATGAAAGTGGGCGGAGTCAAAACTCATATTTATTTTAAGGGACTTCTTTCGCCGTTTTGTTTGAAAAACCTGCTAAATACAAAACAACTTTTTCTTGAATTTTGTTTTGAAAACTATCTAGCATGATAGAAAATGGTCTAACTAAGAAAATTAATCCGAACACCAATATCTTTAATTCAGTAATTAACGCTGTACAGACGTTTAAAGAGTTGTTTACATGACGTCACAATGTAGCGCCAAACAGCGCGTGCTTACGCATAAATTACTGCGCGCTGTACAATTGCAGTTGGTAGCAAGCAAGGGGATTCGTTACCATTTTCTTTGATAATGAAATTAAATAAAAAGGTTATTTTTTCGTTTTTCGTGAAATATGGTATATATTTTCACTCAACAAGATAAAATGCCACATATTTTCACTCGCCGTACCGGCTCGTGAAACTATGTGGCATTTTATCATGTTTCGTGAAAATATATACCATATTTCACGCAAACGAAAAAATATCCTCTTAGTATATACTTTGACTGTGCATTATAATCCTGTAGGTTCATGACTGAATGTATTTTATTTATTATGCTTGCAAAAGGCTCACATAAAGTTATCTTCATAAACTTGTTCAATAAATTCAGTACTGAACCTACACTTATTAAAAATCTGACATTTTGTTTTTGTTTCAGTAATTTTGGATAAATTACTAAACGTATTAGAATAAAAAAAATAAATAAAAAAAATATTTTTATGCGAAAAATTAGTTATGGAACAGTGAAGTCGTTGCTGCATGAAATGTTTAACCAGCCTATTAAAAAACTTTTCTATGGACCGCGGTTGCTTTTCATAAGACTTACATTTAAGTGCAAGATACAATAGTCAAATGTATAATCTTTCGATAGTACTTTGAATTTATCTTTTATCAACCACGCAATATAACTAATCGAAAGTGATATTTAACAAATGTCATTTTAGTTTAAAACTAGCAAAACATCTTTTGTTCAGTTTACAAAAAGCACAACTTCGACATCAATAGCAGGTATTTTACCAGTTTACATGTACATACATTTGTAACACATGAAATTCGGCTATATTCTTAAAGATATACTATGCTCATTCTTGAGTAAAACAAAAATAATTACAGAAATTTATTGAAATCAATGAAATTCTTACTGAATATGTTGTTTATAAAACAATGAATTAACAATGTATGTGTAGCTGCTTTCCCTATAACAGGTCAAGTAAAAATGGTCTTTTCTTAAAAAAACCTCTAGCTTTTTAAGGTAGTACACCTTTAATGCGCTATCTCTACTGTGAAGAGTATTTAAATAGGCTAAAATCACTGTAAAGTGTATTGAAACTGAGGGGCGTGGGTTCAATCCCCAGAAGGGGCACCTTTTTTTCTTTTCTTTTTTTTTCTTTTTAACATTTTTTTATTAATCTCTCAGATCCCTAATGGAAGAAAAAAGTGTTTCATTTTAATTATATAATTATTGTAGGTATGTATTTATTTAACAAATAATGGCGAATTTAATAGCAAATATAATACCAGATATTTTCAAAGTTTAATAAAATAAAAACTACACGGTAAAAGTATTTTATATTTTATATTTTGCAATACCAACCAATATACATTTAAGAAAATTTAGGAAAACTTTGAAAACAAACCCTCATTATTGAAAATTTTAGAGATATTTTAAATAAGGCGTGTTACATAGGGAAATGGTCAAATAAGTGTTAAAAGTGGGTGGGGTAGGGTTACATTTTTATACATATTAAAATTAAAAAATTATTTAAAAAATGTCATTAATTGTTTCTTAACAATGAGCAATAGGAAAACATTTTTCATAATGATGATATTATAGATTATTTAGAGTTTCCTCATTTCTGAGAAAAGCCCTTCTAATGGCGAAGTTTTAGTTAAGAAAAATGTCAATAACTCATAAGCCACATAGGTCAAGTTTGTTTAAATTTTGCATACAGGTGACATTTAAGGCATATAACTGTCCTATGTTGTCAATTTTACAGTTCCTGATAGTGCCCATTAGGGGTGTTCTACCTTAATGACACTATATATTCAGATTGTGATCACCTATAGTGTGTATAATTGAAACATAACATATCTACTTTGTGTGAAGTCAAACATGTGAATTTTATATTTACAAAGAGACTGCATAGCAATCAATTATCAATATTATCTGATATCAAGGTTCAGCATTGTAAATCAATAAATGTTTCTTCTTTTTTTACTTACCTACGATATTTTTGCCAAGACACGGCATGTAGAATTCAATGAAGGTCAATTCAATGCTTTGGTGTTTGCCGGCTTGAATTGTAAACTCTTCTTCAAAATGTTGATAAAAATTCAAATAGGAAAGAGATGTAAGGATCATACTTGATGCATTGCAATGCTCATGTCTTGTTTTAGAAAGGCCATCTAAATTTAGTGAAAAGCAAGCTGGTGTTTCTGGAATATGACAAACAGTAACAAATCTCATGACATATTTCATTGCATTAGACTCAGATAAATAAAGACATCATTATGTCTTCATGGAAATAAGTAAATAAGTAAATACATATAGATTTTATTATCAAGAACGTATATGAAACATCAATGGTTTATAATACACACAGAAGTAAAACACAAGCGATTCCGATGTAAAGAACTATAAAGCACTGCAAAGCAATATTAACTTATTTTATCTAGATATTTTATCTTGTATGTGAAAGGTGCAATTTTGAAGACTCTTGTTAGGTTTTAAAGTAGCATGTTCATGATCATATACGGCATAAACAAATGTAAGATATTGTTCACTGTTGGATAAAATGTTTTTAAAATAATTCATAAGGATAACTTAAACAAATATGAAGATATCAATCAAGGACAACATCATTTATTAAGCGTTAATATAAACACCTAAAAGGTGTATACAGCTAGTCAAATATCGTTCTTGTAAGGAATGGCATTTAATATCTTTCTGAGGATATGAACAGATGTGGGTACAAAAATCTGGAAGAAGGGTGATCCTCTGGAAACATAAATCACAACAAAATTACATGACATGGATGAAGACTCGGTTTGATTGAGTCTGTACATGACGGATAAAGAAAAGGTGCAAAACCCCTCATGACTCCTAGCACCGACTTGAGCGGTACTCAATTTTCAACTCTTAAAAGCACAAGTATTGTAGAAATTTTGCAATCCAAACAGATAAGACTAATTGCTATAAAAGTTAACAATAAAAAATAGCTAGTTAAATTTCTATACAAAAGAAAAACAATGATCACCTTTTATGGATATGATTAATTAAGAAGTATATATTTTCGAGCTCTTTCATTGGGTAACTACTTTTAAAGTGCACGCTGTCAATACCTGCAGTCAAAAAAAGGGAACTGACTGAAGTCATAAATTCGAGACGACGCATGTATATACTTTTTCTTCGCTTACTTTATGTACAAATCCTAATTAATATATTTTTCCATGCAATAGTGTAAAACGTTGATCAAATAAGCATGGAAACAGGACTTAACATTCATATTTACACGAAAATAAATGATTATTTAGCAAATGTGTAAACTTGTTACTGTATATTGTTTGTTTACCTTGAAATAGAAACGCAAAGGTATAAAAATGAAATATATAGATTTCGTTTAGAATCATTCATTACATACATGTGTCGTAATTTAATTTAACTAAATAAGCAACGAATTCCTAAGTACAACGTAATTTGTATGTATATATGCTCATTTTAAAGAAGAAAAAAGTTAACCGGCAAGATAAAACTTACGAAACTAAGACGATTTGTATAGATTTCGGAAAATGATGACTTTAAGTCAGTACTGCAGCGTAAACCCTGAGACAAAAACTTCTACTGAACAATCGAAACTATGACAAGCGTGTCAAAATCACAAAATATCACTTCATAACGTTGGTAGACGTTTTTCATGTTCTAAAACAATTATTTTAAATGTAACAAAACTCATATGGATCCTAGGGGCGTGTGAGCTGATGAACTTGTATATTACCTATTATGAACAGATTCAATAAAAACGAGTCTACAATTTTTAAATAATTTTGTAGTTTTCAGTACTTCTTATTCCAGATTTTTAGTACTAACATTAAAATCAAAACTATAATATCATTACTTGTTTAAAATGAAATAAATGACATAAATTCTACCTTCAGCTGTTACAATTGCCCGGAATTTTATCGTTGGTGACCATGTCGTTTTTTGAATGGTTGTTAAAAACAACAGTCTTTTGTCTGTTTCTACTACGAATACTTCAGCGTTGAAATTCTCATCAATGACTAACCCTTTGTCAACATCTTGCGATGTTTTAACAATAAGTGCACACTGTGCAAAATAAAACAGTATGTTGCAGTTATAAAATACAACTAGCATTTGTACGGTTTAGAACTATATTAAGATGACGTTAAAAATGGAGGGAAGTTGATTCTGTTCGAGTCAAGGTACTTTATAAAGACAATTAAAAAAAAACAGACTGAAAAAGGTCAGTTGTTTAAATACTTTCATATGTTTACTTAAATAAAACAACTTGGCTAGAAGTTTCGTCAAAAGCCATTTTCTATTGCGCAAACAACTGCAAATGTATCACCCATTTGATATTCAATTTAACAGCCAAGGAATCGTATTTAATGCTAATAAAATTGATTTTAGGCCGGTGTTGAATTAAATTTAAAGATTTAAATCTTAAACAAATGAAAAAGCCAATTCGTGTAGTTGAAATCGTCTGCCGTGCGAAGTAAGTTGGTATATACATTTCACTTATGATGAAACAAAACTTTAACGTAGAGCCCCTTTGTGAATTGTGGTTTCTTTTGACGGAAGAAAGGTTATAAAACAATGGGCATTTGATCGGACTAACGGATGGACAAAACAAGGGGGATACAAAGCAATTCGAAAAAGGAAAGGCGACGATATCAGAACGCAGCAGAACTGTTTTTCATCATGTTTTAAACTTTAGATAAAAGAATGCATACCTGAGATAGTGATACATTTGTAAAAACTAATTTGGCAAATTGTCCTGGTTCAAAATCCACAATCCATAGTATATTATTGTCCAAATTTGCCGTTAGAGGATAACTGAGTGATGTTATTATGGAGATTCTATCTACGTATTGAACGTTTCCAACAAATGACCAATCTGTGTATTTAGCTCTCGGAAACGACATCAATATAACTGTTTTTACAAAAAAAGTGTTGTACCTAGCTAAATAAATGATAATTTGTAAACGTGATAAAAGTAGCATCTCCTAGATATAAGATGTCCAAAATTGAAATAACTTTGAACAAAATGTTCTTGAATCTCGGCATAAAGAGCCATTCTTAAAATGACGTCACCAGTTCGCTCGAAATATGAGGGAGTATGGCAATGATTACTTATATATTAAAGGAATGCAATATAAAGCAGTATACATGAGTATAGAAGAGCAGTAAGACGCGAGATTATCTTATTGTCAAAAGAATAGATTGCCCCTGAGTAGATAACAAATAGCCGAGGATTTTGGTGTACTTTCTCTTTTGTATCATGAACACAATAATTGCCCAAACAGTTTTGGTAATAACATGTTAACTCCATAAAATATTCTTTTAACGATCAAATTGATTAAAAGCAGTGAATATTTGTTATTCTGGATTTAGACAGAAAACTAATTACTAAAATCACACACTGAAAAAAGTTCATTTAAGTTTTTAACTTTCTGCATGTTACTCTACAGATGGTGAGGTAACTAAAAAATTCGTAAAACCCATACTCTCCATTTTACGCATTCTTTGCCTTGAGTATCCAATTGATCTTTAACAAATTTTCAAAGAAGTTGTAGTACAAAATCATTTTATACCTACGGGCAAGATAAAATAATCTATACAAAATCAATGAGAGCGATAAAAATTATCAGAAAGTACACCAGTCTGGTGTTATTTGATGAATGTAAAGATATTTTTTCTTCCATTTTTAACAACATAAAAATATTACTTATAGTCTTATAGCAGATAGAAAATGACTCAAAAAAATGTAAACTTGCAATTGCATGATCTAGATTTTGATAACTTTTTATTATCAGCGAAAACTTGGGGCGATCACCGACATTGCGTTTGAATAGGCAATTAAATGGCAAATAAATTACATTTATTTCTTATTTCTACTATTAGTTGTTAATTTTTTTATATATGGGGTCAAAAATGAACATTTCATTGATTTGCATTTTGTTTTCCTTTTCATTAGTTGAGGTACGCAGACGAGTTTGAGTTTTCTTTTTCTTATACAGCTACCTTAAATTAATCCATTTTTTCGAGACAAAGCACATAAATGGGCATGGATAAAATAGCTATTTTATACATTGATTGATTCTAGTACTAGTGCCACTAACAACCCCTTCTATTGTTAAAATACAACATATGGGTCCGTGTCATATAAATCCACAGCTCTGTATATGCTATATAGTTATTAAAAGTACTCCCATTCTATATTCTTAATACTTAATATATTAAAATGCAATTCTTAAACGGTTCGAAAGTTGATAAATAATCTAAATGATGAAATGTTAAATTGTTAAAACATAACATACAGGTTCGCTTAATATGAAACGGAAGCTCTGTAAACGCTTTGTCGTTATTCAAAGAACCATCTTATTGCTTATTATAAAATTATCTGAACACTTCGATTATTCATTTGATAAATCATTTAAATGGTGAAATGTTTACGTACCAGGGTTTTGTAGCTTGGCAAACCACTGACTACCCGCAGCAATCGTTGTACTCTTCCATAATCCAAGTTTACTACCCATGTAGTGATAACAATGCCTCTTTTCGTTGATACTGGCAACACTACAACTGATTTTGGAACTACAAAGTTTTTTACATTCATCTACAGTTGTTTTTCCAACAAACGATGAGTCTTGAGATCGCAATTCTTGTTTGATAGGCAGCATTTCAGATATACTGTTGTTGTTTATGTCAGTGATACCTGTTCAATGATGAACGAAATAGACCAATCCGCAGTAATATAAATACCTTTATACCAAAACAAATGTAAAAGTTACTTAATAGCAACAAGGCATATTAAATACTAGTATATATCTACATGGTCATTGAAACACGCGATATTAAAAATATTTGCATTAATTACTCAGTGGAAGTTTAAATAAAATAATGCATTAATTTTCATGTAATCAAAAATGTTCTTACGTGTGAATTTACAGCCGTACAAACTAAAACTAAGACATCTAGGTCTGTATGCTGGATTTTCAAATGAATTATTGAATTTTACGTATCTAGCTTTGATTGGTCTAGGAAGAATGAACATCTGATCTTTCTCCTGCCAGTTTTTAGGTGGAAAAATCCTAAATTCCTGAATTAATAAATCACCATTATTTCTACATTTGTTTCATTCTTGTCATATTATACTGTATCGTTTAATGTATATTAAGTTGCTAAATTTAGATAAGTAAGCTTTATTTCAGTAATACATTATAGTCGGAAATATGTTATAAGATCTAAATACTCATTTAGGTCAAAAGGTGAAATGCCTAGTTCTGTTTTCATAATTTCATAGGCCTGCTTTATTACAGTCATGTTAAATTCAACGTAGATATGTTTGTAATTTGATTTGTAAGTGTTAAGAATGAAGAAAAGCAAAACTAGCTATAAAGACAATTTTCTTTACATTAACTTTAAGCTGTATTCCTTTTATAGCGGTGATCACACATCACACTTAAAAAAGTTTGTTTATGGTATTGTTATGGATGTTCAATTATTGAAAGAACGATTAATACAAATGAATCGTTTGAATATTGTCAACAAAGTCAACATTCCTTTTCATTGAATATTGTAAGGCAGAGGTGATTACCAAGTCTTTGTATATTTGCTGTTGGTCCTTACTCGTGCCAAAATATAAATTAAAAGAGGTCCATATGTCACAATCTTCGGGGAAGAAAATACCAACTCCTTCTATTGTTGTTATAGAAATAAGATCAACCTAAAGGAATAAATATAATTTGTATCAGAATAATTGTACGTATGATAATGTATGTTAATTGCTGATGTATCTCAAAATAAAAGACTAGCAATATTATTTAACACCACTGCGTGCACATACAAAGAACATTCAAAATTTGATTTAATTCGCAGATCGGCCCTTTTACTTCTTATTACATGTCCCTCCCCTTCTTTCAGCGCCCTTATGTACTCTCTTGTGTTTGGTTTGGCGCCTTGTGTGTGTCCTGCTGGTGTAGATTGGTTGTAACGGGACTGCGTTCTGTTAACGCCACCACACCTTATTAATCTTTGTTCTCATTGTTTTGCGAATTTAAAGAGAAATTGTGGTTTAACACTAGCACATAGTTCATTATAATTAATTAGTTGTATGTCATATAGTTAAGTATATGATAGTATAGACGAAGTTTTTTCAGCTACCTCGCCTTTCCGGTACCATAAAATAATATTCATGTGAGAAAAATGGTTGTGACCCTGGGAAATGAGTGAATAACATAAAATTGTAGTTGTATTTCTACTTGTATTCAAGACCTTAATATTTTTAAAATATTTTCTTTACTATAAAACGTTTTTTTGAATGAAAACGTTTCATTGTTTCTTTACGATAAGTAAGAGACTGAATAAGTACGTGTTAAAAAGTTCTTTACTACTTAAAAGAAGACAAGATTAATTTCATTCTGTCACTTATAGAATGCATATTTATGCTACCATTCAAACTGTTTCATATAAATAACATGTTGAAAAATGTATCTCTGTGGAAAGAATTAAGCAAAGAAGATAACAACTTTATATTATCTTTATACAGAGAGACTTGCGGCAGTTATATATATATCACAGCGACATAAATGTCGCCTTATAATTAAAATCTATCTATCACCTATGTTAAAAGTTGTAAATAAATCATTCATTTTATAAAAGTAAATTTGTCAGCTAGGTACTTGCTTGTAACATAGGCAATATCAAAAATTCTGTTATACATTAATCATATGAATAAAAACTTGCCTCGACAAATTCAAAAATCTTATATTTTTTTTGTTGAATGATAATGAATACATAATCATTGAATTAAACAAACCAGAATCCAAGGTGTCAGGTCTCCCATGTTATGAATCCAGTGAATAAATATGTGTTTGGTACGTGATGGTAATTGTCTAGGGTACGCAGATGACACAGTGATCTGACTCTCTGGTACCAGATTGTCGTCAATAGTTTCAAAACATGGCTCACCGTTATCTTCAAGTATGAGAAATTTACATAACATCAACCAATTAGAAACTGAAAAACGTGACTGACACACACATTAAAATATGTTAAAAAAGACGAAAAATATTCTCTGAATAAGTTTTATACACGATTATATGTACATAATAAATTTGTTTTGTTAATAAATAGAACCCGAGCAAAAAGGATTGACTACAAAGTGAACTTCTTGTAAAAACATTCTAATAAAAAAATGATAAAACTTGTATAAATTAGGCCCTGAGACAACATAATCATTACGTTACGTTACCTACAAGTTCTATCTATTAGACACTGAAGGATCGTTCTTTCACCTACATGTATCACCTTTTTGTAATTTTTTTTCAATTACCTATGTTTTAAACTGTAAGCAGATGGATATGGCATAAAAATCCCATAAGCAAGCCAAATCTAATATTTGAATCCTCTTATTTTATATAAAAGTTGTAAAGTTTTATTTCCGATCATACGATAACGATATATTTAAACACTAGTCTACGTGGTTGAATTTAATAACGTATACTTACGCGACTCTATACTTGATATAAACACCTTAAACGACATAACACCTGTGATGTTTTCCTTTAATGCAAATGTAAAAAATCGACCTTGTGTCCTTCTGCAATTCGATAATTTTATGATAAAACGTTCAACAAAATGTTAAAATGATGCCCACATTTTCAAATCTTTTATATTTAGTCCGAATAAGTTCACATTATTAAAGCCACAGAGAAAAATATTGTGTACTGTTATCAGTTCATGAGTGTGCAAACATATCACCTTATTTTGTAGCAATAATTTTGAAAATTATAACCATTTCAAGTCCAATATAATACAGAATTGATGAGCATATATTAAATATTATCATATGCAACTAGTATCAAACTATTTACAATAAACTGATTATCTGTAGTTTACTTTTATAATGCAACTTAATGAACTGAATTATACAAAAAAAACGTAATATATCATAATTTAAGGTCTCTGTGACCTTAACCTTTACGCATCTGTGACTGAAATGAACAGGAATATTTTACTCAAAAAGGTTAAAACGATGATCATCCTATGAAATTTTAAAGCTATTCTACGTCACTGTCATCTTTACCTTTATACACAATCGCATAAAAATATTCTTAACCTAATACTCTGCTGTATCGCTAAAGTACTTACCTCTAGATAGGCACACAGGTAACACTAAATTCATGTCTAAAATGTTACAGCACAGAGCTCCTGAATTAAAATATATACTGTCCTCGTTTTGTGTAACTTTGTTATGAAAATTAAAAAGAACACGATTTTTTTGCATGAATGGCAATCATGAAAATGTTCACAACATGTCTTTGCAAACATTGCTTTACACGGGTTTCATCGTCCTAAAACAACGACGATATGTAGCTGAATAGCTCCTTGTATTAAACATCATAAACAACTTTGTCGACCTCAGAGCGCTACAAAGTAAACAATACCAGGACAGTATATGTTTAGCCGCCATGTTTTAGATATGAATTTAACGTTAAGTGTTTTCTTACTTCAATTTTAGTACAACACATTGTTCGATTTCGATCACAGTGTGTAGCCGATATCTTTTATTTTCAAGATACAATATACATTTATAGAAAAGCAGTGAATAAAAAATGTGAAGGAAAACTTTCTTTACCTAAAGAATATTTTACCAGGAATACGGGCATTTTCAACGTTACCAATGTTACAGACTGGTGATTCCTCTAAATTCCCTGGCACATCATTGACGTAACACTTGAACTCGGTACTTTGCTACAACAAAACATTCCTGTTTGACAGTTGAACCTTTATAATCATTTTATTAAAGGAGTCAAATACCAAAACAATACAACCTTTCGTCAAACATGTTTACATATTTTTTACTGCTGTCAAATGATCAAATTACTAAAATTAAAACAGTCACTTATAAATTAATCGTTGGCAGCTTTGAACAACGCGCCTATTGATGATTTTAAGAATGATTTAATTAATTTAGAAGGCGAAGGTTTTTTTGCTAAACATCTTTACAACACATCTTTAGATTTTAATATTTAATGAATATTCTGCAAAACACCGAATGTCAAATGAATGTCCAATGAAATATGATTTACTGTTCTAATTTAACTAAAATCCAAGTGTGTATTTCATATGTCAACTCAGTTTTCTGATATATGAAAGTAATATGTAACCAAAATGTTAACCCTACATTAAAATTGCATCATACTAGCAAGTCCAATCATATGAAATAACCAAATCAAAATTTAACTAATGAGTCTAATGTTCTATTAGGCAAAGTAGTTCTCTATCAATGTAAGCAATAAAATCTGGTGCACACAGCTCGGGGTCTGATCGGACTGCACGGCTTTTCAGACTGATCGCATTCTTTGCAGGATAGGTTAGTGATATTTAAGGAATCTAGTAGTACATGTAGTTTCTAGTATACTTACTAAACTCGAAGACTTTATTTCAATCATAACGACCTCAAGTGAGCGCTGGCAGTCGAGGAAATACCATTCAAATTTAAGATCTGTTGTTTCTAAAATAAAACAATTACTAAAAATAATAGGCCAAAAAAGAATGCAGCAATGAATGAATACAAAAACGTAAAATTTCTCAAGAACAATTCATGCATAAATGTTACTGCATATTGTTTTATTTTTTAAAAATATCTTAGAGCATTATTTTATTATTCTACAAATAAACATATTGCGACTGCGAGGACAGTCTATGGAGCTCCATATGGCATGATGGTTAATCTTACCTGGGTCGAATTTGTTGAGTTTTTGTTCATTTAAAATCAATTCTGAAATTTAAAAAAAGGACAATGTCAAAAATGTGAACGTAAAAATGTATAAACTTTAAGTATGTTTTAACATATAAACCTGCAAATGTCTGTTACTGTAAAAAATTAAAGTAAATATAGATTGAAACATATTTTTCCTTTATTTGAATTTACATAATAACCATCATTATAAGTCTTATCTGTTTTATTACCACAGTTTTAAATTCGATAGTTTTATGTTTTCGTACAACAATATTTCATTTGAGCTAATTAACAAAATACACTATGAATAAATTCAATTTAATGATGAAATAGGTGCAATGGCTCAAACATTGACAATTAGAAACCATGACCATTTGAGTAGTACACAAGTATTTGATGATACCGACTTTTGCACTGCATGATGAACAAGTATTTTACAAAATCTATACGACACAAACCTGTTGCTGTTTCATGATCAAAGTTCACAACTGAAAACATAGAAAAAGATGGAAAACTTGATCTCTTTAATTCATTTTAAATCGTGTACAGATAATGTTTTTATCGGAAGACAAGTTACTATTTTGCATTTATCTTATAAAATTATCCCTTTATACTGCACGTAATATTAAACGTGTTGAAGCTGAATGCATCCAGAAGGACCAAAATATTTCAAGACAGTCAAACTTGAAAAATGTACGTAAAGTGTCATGTGTTATTCGTCTCACAATAGTTTAGTTTTAAATATTATTTCAAAATTTTAATGAAAATTAACATAGATCTGAAGGCATGCTGCTTTAAACTACTTTGTTTGTTAAACTATCAAAACACTCCAGAATATACATCGTATATATCATTTATATCCTAGATATGTTTTTTTATCTCTCACAATTTTCTTTAAAAAAAGCATGAATCCCGAGTCATGCTGCTTTAAAGTACATTTTTGTTAAACTGATAAAACACTGTAGACTATTAGTCGAAAATATCTATTATGTCCTATATATGTTTATATCTCTAAATAAACCTTGATAAGAATAAACATACCTTTTGGATTATAAATGCAGTGCATTGCTTTCTGAGACACTGTTGAAACTTCGAATTTGGAGCAATTTGTATCTGGATCCTGTAACAAATCAGATCCAATAATACATGTGTTTAATACATGATCAAATGACAGGAATAGATCTAATGCAAACTGAAACATGTACTCCAATAGGTGTTCACCAGTCAATTCATTGTTATACCTAACAGAAAATTATTCTAAATACTATTTTACTATATATTTTTTACAAAATGTTTGAGTTTTCTTACTTTATTTTTCCAAAGTTTTTTTCTAAATATTCTTGATAAAAAAGAATACTTATAAAGCATTGCCTTTTCAAGAATGAAGTCAGTTTCCAACATTTTGAACGTAACATTTGTGTGAATGTCTCCCGTACCAATAAATTTTGTTCTTTTACACATCGAAATGTTAATGAAATCTGTAGATTGCCCTTTAATGTAATGAAATATTTATGTCTTTCTTGCATACATTATTAACAATAATACATACTAAAGCATTGAAATACTTTGAAATCAATGAAACAAAACCATTGGTAATTACAGATTTAATTGGATGCAAAAGATAAGTATTGGAAAATGCAACGTACCCTACGTCAACTCGTCAAACAACCAAATAATCTTCTCATCAAAATATGTGATATGAATGGATAAAATGTAAGCCGACAGAATATCAATAAGTTAAAACCATATATTTTTCTTTGAAAGTCTGCTTTTTCCGTAAAGTTTACATAACTGTTATAAGTTTGAAAGTTCCTAAGAGAAACCCATAACAAATATTAATTTATCTTTAAAACATACAAACCTTCTGTTGATATTTCAATATAAGGAACATGGCCATACGACACAAAGTGAGTTACAGGAAGAGTTCTGTTATACTCTTCGAATGCTAGAATATAATGATGCAAAAAGTAATGTAATTATTTATTGGACGTTAAACATCCATTAAGCTATATCTCAATTTTGATATACTAGTACCTAAAATGATATGCACTCATTTGCAAGAGTAATGACAAATACTCTACAATAAGAGATCTCAAGAGAGCAATAAAACAATAATTGAAGAAAACCCCGAAGCCGAATTCGATCGAGTCTGTACATGAGATATAACGTGACGCACGGTGCCTCTCACACCGGCTAGCACCGGGCTAATTAAAATGTATTCTCAAAATATTCACAAGGAATTGATATATACCTAAAGGACAAGATGTCCCAATTCTATAAATGCTATAGTTTCCTGGAATCCATTGTCCTTGATCAAGTATGACATCGTTTCGAAATTTTACGCAGAAATAAAGCTTCAAATCTTCTGTTTGATATGGCGATTTGAAAAAGTCATCGCCAATGAATAAGAAATTATCCCCCGACTTCCTACCCGAAATTGTAGTATTCTTTTCAGAACTGTTACTAAGTACCACCATGTTGACCTTCACAAAGCTTTTCAACCATCCCCGAGACAGTGATTCCGGACAGCCATACTTGGACATGCGTATAGCGTATGGTCCTGGTGGCCACATGCTCTGTTTTTCTTTTCTTTCTATAAACAAAACAGACATGTACAAAAACGTTTATATCAAATTATCTATTATGCTCTGTTCGGAGAAAAAAACAATGCTTTGAATTCTAGTAAGCAATATTTATTAACCATTCACTCTTTTAAGATAACTGTATCGTATTCACACTTACTCAACTTACTTATTTCCAGATAAAGGCCACTGGTCATTGACACATGAAAGTACAATACAAATAAATACAAATAAAAACAAACAAACAAACAAAACACACACACACACAAATAATTGGTGTGAACGTTTAACTCAGGAATACGTTTGAGATATATAAGTATAATGTTAATATAATGTAAGTAAGGTGTTATCCTGTTAACGTTTCAAAAATGTTGTTATTAAAATTTTGAACAACATAGTATGGATTAAATGTATCGTTGCACAAACACAATAGTGATTTGTTTATAGATTTAGTTATGAGGGGTTGGTGGGAAAAGCGTGTTTGTTGTTTTTGATATGGTGTGCTTTTGTTAGAACTGTTTTTAATGTTGTTTTTATTGTCGAAGAGTTATTCTGGAGAAAAAATAAACATAATATGATATAAACCGTCACATAACAAAGCGTTTTACTTACCATTACTTATCATTTATATTTGGTATATAGAGGGTATTGAACGAGTTAGGATTCATTACTAAATCTATTGGCAGAGTTGAATAAATTATAGCATGCAAGCCTCTCAATAAATTTAGTATTGAATCTACATGAATATAATATTCTATTTATCACATACCCAAACTTAGAACTGTCCTCCAACCACTCATAACTAAATCTATAAACAAATCACTATTGTGTTTGTGCAACGATGCATTTAATCCATACTATTGTAACGTTAACATTTACTTCGTCTATAGGCTACTGTATTATAACGTAATTGACGTCGTGCCGAAATATATGCCTGGGTCGTGCAATACCGATTCGCAAAACAGAATACAAAGACGCAAAAGCGGCACAGCTGTGTGATAAAGAAGTGTTATAAATCAAGCAACATACATTCATTGCTGGTAACACATATTGAAAGTTAAATGTAGAAACCTTTAAGGTCGTCAAACAGGACATTTAAATGATGCAACCCGTAGAAGAAATCCGAAAACAAAGTAATTGAAATTTAATGTACCTAAACAGTCGTTCTGATAGGCCAGCCTAAAGAGTCCAAGCATATCTAGATTTTTTCTGATATGACGTCAGAAAGTTAACCATCTAAGGGTCTTCTAAAATATTGTGTGATGTCATTGAAGACTTACCTCGCTATATATCATATATGGACTTGTCCATATTTCAATCTGGACAAAATCATACATTATATTCAGGGAAATTTCAAAATATGTACTGAGTAATAGCAGCAATACAGACCGTGAATAAGAAGTGTACTGGTGGTAAAGGTAGAATATGTTGCAAACAGCAGGGTAAATTCTAATTCAAAAGGTCTAAATGACTTCAAGTATGTCTTGGGACATCTAATTCGTTTATTCCGTCCGGGATATTGAATTTTCTTTGATGAAACAGGAGCGGATATGACTTTTACCAGTAAATGGATAACATCGAGAAATAACTGCCGCTAATTATTTCAGCTATTAGAAGGTCTACTAGTCATTTCCTGGAAAATGTTAATGAATAATAAATATTATATGTATTCAGTTTCCTTCCACAAGTCACAATGAATATTTATTACTTGAACATTTTAACGGTTTTTGCCTCCATATTTATCATGATAATTTTACTTAATCTATTTCGTATTATCTGCCTACATAGAAATGTGCGTTGTTCAAGTGAGAAAGTTTTGATATCTAAACTTTACTAAAGACTTGTTTCTGGTAATGCTAGCATTATGTTATCTGCTTCAATAATTAATACTTTATTAGTTCAAATCACTAGCTGGTTTCCAATATCGAGTTGACTTTACATTAAAACATGATTGTCCTATATGAATAAAATGTTTTTTTCACCTTATTTTAAAACACATTAAGACAACTGTTACCAAATTTAGCAATCAATGGGCATAGATTAAACATAGTAAAAATGACTTACAAATCAATATTTTGAAAAGGTCCGTTATCTTGATAGACATGAAAGTCCGCCCGGACAAATTTTTTAAAATTAAATTTTTGAGAAGAAAAAAAAATTAAAAATATAATAAATTGCATTTAATTATTTCTAATTAACATTAAATCTAACAGATGAAATGATTTTCAAATGTTTAGGACAAATATAAACGGTAGTGAAGTTTGCCACTATCCCCATGGTGCAAAGATTTCCTTGTGGCTGTTAGAAGATAAAATCCGTTTTTAATATTTTGTCATACATTTGGTATCATTTGAGAAAACTACGAGTACATCGTATATTGCATACGGATATTAATCTCTCATTTCTGCTGTGCAACATTTATCATAAAAGGACTTTTACGTAGGTACCAATTACTCTACCAGTAAGAGTCCATTAAGTTAGTACAAAATCGCTTTGTAAACCAAAGTAAAGATTTTAGACACATTAAATCAGCACTATGTCAACAATTACATACATAAGGAAAAAACACACACGCACACACGCGCGCGCACGCACGCATCACAAACCACATAAGTTTGTGTGGATATGAAATTAAATAACTTATATTTAGTAATCGTGTTACAAACGTTTCGTTCTTATATCTTTATATTGTTTAACATCTTCATATCTTCATATTCTTACTAACATATCAAAAGCAAAAAATACAAATTTGAATGATACAGGCAAATTTTTATAAACTACATATGCGCAAAAATTGCTAACAAATTAGGGATTAAAAAGAGCTCGAAGTTAAAAAGTTCAGTTACATGTTTTGTTGGATGTACATGTATATTATGTGCAGTGGGAGAAGTTATACAGTTAGGATATTTTATTTTGACAAATAGTATAAAACAAACCTTTATACTTATGTATATCTTACAATGATAAACAAATATTGTACGTTGCTTTTCAACCGCTTTCAAAGTATTTTAAAATTAAAATTGTTCTGTATTGAAAGTATAGTATACATAAAAGTTCTATGCATTTTACAAGAAAATGTAACCCTGCATGTATTAATATACATGATATAATTAAACCACACTTATAAAGATAGATTCGTACGGAGCCACTAAGGTGACGTTTTCAACACTTTTTTCTGGCATTTAATTCGTTTTTACGAACTATTAATTCATAAATACGAAATATGTATTCGTTTTTACGAAATAATAATTCGTTTTTACGGAATATTAATTCGTTTTTACGAAATATTAATTCGTAATTACGAAATATAACTCATTTTAACGAAATTTATTCATTTTTAAGAAATATTGATTCTTTTTTTTTACGAAAAATTACAAATGGAATTCGTAATTACAAAATGTTAATTTGTAATTAAGAAAAATTAATTCATACTAGTGTAATTACGCAATATTTATTCGTTTTTACGAAATAATAATTCGTTTTTACGAAACATTAATTCGTAATTACGAATTAATTCGTTTTTACGAAATCTTATTTAAGGTCATTGTGAGTTTGACAAAATACCTACTAAACTCACAAAGGGGTCATTTACAAACCTGGATCAACCTTGCGATTATAAGCCGGATAGTTTTCAAGTTTTTACAGATCATTCACAATTCAAAATGTCCTCTTTTTCCCCATCGTCAAATACTATTTTCATCAGCAATATTTGATTGTTGAGGCAATTAATCTGACATGTTTCTTTAAAAAAAGAAACATGCTTTATTATTACTTTCTTTTATAATATACATAAGTAAAACTAAAAGGGGGGGCTCCAGAGTTTTTTTAATCTAATCAATTTAAAAAAGTATATTTCCTCACAATTTATGTTTGCGCACCGTGCGATCATAAAAACATAATATTTTATTTCAAAACTCAATAATATTGACAAAACGAAACAAAAAATGTCTATGTTTTGATTTGAAGCACAGGACCCTCATTTTTAACACAATTTTCCTAGCGCGTGTACTATCACAACGCTACTGACTATGGAGGCTATTCGTTGCCAAAGATCCAGTCTTGCTGATCAGTTTGTTTACGGACAAAATACAATTGTATTTCTTTGTATGTTATCTTCAACGTTGCATCCTTGGATTGAGTTTGCCAATTTAACATTGTAAACATGTTTAACGAAAAAACAGTAACTGTTTTTCTGATAGTAGCAATACGACGTGTTCATCATAACATGCGGAATACTCATTGTTCGTGTATACGCCAACAAAACAGAAGACCTTAACCTACGTCAGCTTACATATATTTAATACTAAAAGGCTAATTACAACATATGACTCAAAATACCTCTTAATGGAGGTTAACAGGGATGCTAGGGTACACTGAATATTTATTTCAACATTAAAATGGGACAAATTAACAAGTTTTTGGTTATACAACGGAATTATCGATTGTAAACTTCGAATAGTTCCATGGTTATACACTTGGTAAAAATCGTTTTTCTTAAACCCAATATAGTCCTTTAAAGACAGAAGGCACAGGCTTACTGTTCAGTTCTCTTTATTTGTATTGCCAAAAGTGACTTCCATGTATCGCATTCAAGTAATGTTTGCTGAATTTTAAACGAGTCCTACCGTTGTAACGTTTGAAGGAACACAAACCCTATCGCTGTCCATCGAATGTGGTTTGTTTACTTATATATGGGAAATATTCCCTTGTTAATTCACCAACTTAAGGTTTTGCATATTATTATGCTCATTATCAGTATAAACGTTGTTACATTGTTACATTATATCTAAGCTAATTTTGCATTACTTGAATATCCTGTACTAGAATACGTTTTAACAAAATTAGAGGATATTCAAAGTCAACTGTAATGCAGTTGATGTATGTGAAATTTATAACAATTTTATATAATTTGTTATATTTTTGTACCAGCAAGAATTACCCCTCATTTTATTCTCCTTTCGTGAAAATTGGCTCATCCTATTAATTGTAGTCTATTTCCGTGATAATTCCATATATAGATGTTGCAAAATCGTTTACAAATGTTAATCGCGTTAGAATGGAAAAAGGAAAGTTTGGTGTTGTCAACCTAAGAGTGTCAACTGATGCAGTTACATTCTCATCGTCATGATGCACTGCATTAAACGTGTTGTGTAAGTTTTATCGTTTACATGTATACATGTCTTAAATTTGAAGTTATACATTTCTAAATACAGTTTTCAATTTATCTAATTTGAATTTTTTCAGCTTCCATTTTATCTAATCGAGATAATCAAAATGCTTAATACCATTGCAGTATGTAACTCTCGGATCGACAATTCGATTTTTTTCTAATCTGTTTAGTAGAATCGAAGTATGCATTGTCAAATCTCAAGCAACGAATAGCCTCCATAACTGACAGGCGATTATTTTAATTTATATATACAACAGTGTTAAGGGAGAAAAAAAATCACTTTTAATATTGCATTTACATGCCTAATATTAAGTCAGGAACTTAGTTTCAAGGCCTTCTTTATAAATATTACCAAAACTCTTTGAAACCCTAGAAAAAATTTAATTCGTTTTAACGAAATAAAATTTCGTGTCTACGAATTATTATTTCGTAATTACGAAATAACATTTCGTTTTTACGAATCAATATTTCTTAATAAAGAAAAGATATTTCGTAATTATTACGAATTAATATTTCGTAAAAACAAATTGATGTTTTGTAAGAAAGAATTAAGTTCCGGGGAAAAAAAGTGTGGAAAATGTCACCTTGGGGGCTACGTAGATTTGCTATTCTCAATAAGTCGAGATTAAAAAGTTCAGAGAAATATTAACATACCTTTACTGATATTAAGTTTTTCACACGTTACTCGGTTTGTATCATGTTTTAAGCATCTTGAATATGGAAACTCTGTTGGTTTATAAACCACATGAGGTTGAAGAGACACTGAAACAGAATAGATGCAGACTATATGTTTATTATATATGCTGATAATTATTATAACTAATATATATAGCACCATGTGTCATTCAAGGATAGTGCGCTTTTTAAGAAAGAGCAAAATGCTTAAATGATATTAATATTTCATCTTTGATCATCCAACCTCGTTAACCATATTATACAGAAAGTAATAATTTTTGTCTTATTGTAATATTTATATTATTCTGTCTCTCCCAAACAAGATAACACGTGATTCCATGCTTTTGTATATCTTGTTTACTGAAGCGTTTTTGGTTGGTAATATTTATAAAGACGTGATCCAGTTCAATGTCTTTGAGCTACTTTCTCATTTACTAAAGAATTATTTTCCGTGAAGGCACATGTCATATTGACTTCTTGTCACGTATTGTGTGTTTTTGCTTCTTTGCATATATATTGATGCTTTTTCTTAGGGTTTTAGAACAAATAAAAGTTCTTCTTCAATATACCAAAATTTAGAATTCTTATTTTTGATATTTGGTATTTTGTACAACTCTTCGTGTTGAATAAGGTGTACAGAGGATGAATTAATATCGATACGGTCTTCTTACTACATACATAGCTTTTTGAATAATGGCAGGATCCAGATTATTTCGAAAGGAAAGAATGACTGTCAGGCGAACAGATGAAAAATGTAAATAATAATCATAATTGTCATATAAGCCGTTTCACGACAAAACCAACATAATGGTTTTGCGACCAGCATGGATCCAGACCAGCCTGCGCATCCGCGCAGTCTGATCAGGATCCATGCTGTTCGCTGTCAGTTTCTCCACTTGTTATAGATATGGTAAGCAAACAGCATGGATCCTGATCAGACTGCGCGGCTGGATCCATGCTGGTCGCAAACCCATCATGTTGGTTTTGTCGTGACACGACTCATATGGTTTTCTATCCACGTACCTAATGTCATCAGGTTAGCTTTTGACTTTTTTGAGTTATGGTTGGATAATTTGTGGCATATATCTTTATGTCTCATTTTCAATTGCATAAACCAGCGGAAAACTTTTTAATTTCACAGACGGTTTATATTGTTTAACTTCTTTTTTAACTATAATTATGGACCGGATGAAACTCAAAACCATTGGTTGTTAGACCAGAATGAGATTTTACCATTTACATATGTATTACAAATAGTCACATATGTCTCAGGCCGTCTGAAATTACCATTGAAACGCCACAGCGGCGCTGCTCAAAGAATGCGACGTACGTTGAAACTTTATAACTCACCAAAAGTGCATGCTAAAGAAATGTTTAAAAATTATCCGCAGTTTCGTGTAATCCCGAAAAACGTCAGGCTAAATTTCACGTCATTTGAACATTAAATTCTTGTGCTGTAATATCTCGAAGGTTTGTAGTTGCAACTTTTGATTTTATTGTTCTTCATTTTTTGTATTTTTAATTTCCTAATTAGGCCACTAGGAAATATTAATACTCTTAATGCAAGTGTACCACGAGACTAAGACATGTGTACTGATACATGGATAACAGTATAAAATCCAGTCACGTGGTTTATTGTCCCAAAAAAATAAATAAAAATGACCAGGATTTTTCTCTCTCGATTCAGCATTTCATTTTTTTTCGATTAAAGGGGAATCACCAGGGTGACTATGAAACCCTCTTGTAGAATTGTTTTCGTGTCTTTAATATCTTGTTGTAAAGTAGTAAAACTGAAACTTGCATGCCTGTTTTCATATAAAACATGTTATAAATATTTTATCAAACGATTTGAAATTGCAATGTCTAACATGCTTAACAGATCTTTTCAAATAAAATATCAATATCAAATAACTTACCTGTTTTTATCAAAATGTTAGAAAGAAAGATGATGATTAACTTCAGATCCATGATGACTGAATAGGAATATCAAATTTCACAACACTAAAATTATATTTCAATTTCTTATATAACAATTAAAACAAAAGTCTTTATCAGCAATTCTAATGAATCCGCGGAGAAATTTGTTGCGTTTTGTCCTGCACGAAACAAGAGCTGTATCAATTTAATTTGCCAGGAGAGACTGCGAGGCTCTATATTGGCACTTCATGAATGCCAATGCTATTTATTTGCTTTTTGGCATGCGGAAGCAATTAATAATTATTCATATTAATGCTCATTTTATAAACAATGATTAAATGTTAACCACTGCAAGAATGAACGTTATGGGGGAAATTTAGTTTTCTATTATGTGTATTAATTTGTTCTTATATCTAATGGTGTTGTAAAAAAATATACCAGATGAAAGTATCTTCTGTTTAAATATTCCGTATATTCTAGCGTAAAATCCTTATAACAAAAGTCACCAAACATCATATCACCCATCTTTATTCATTGTTTGATATTATATCATATTTTTTTAAAATACTACCAAAATGCGGATATGAATTATACATGGTTGGTAATGTCAGTGTGTATAATTGTTATTATTCCAATAAAACTGAATAATCATATCTTATTGATTAATATTAGTAAATTGCAGACGGCAACAGAAAAGAAAAGCCTTCAATGAATTATCTACTTTTTTCTCTATGTTATCAAGTTCTAAATTCCAGATTTTCATACTCTCAACTATTGGCATTACAAATACAAAGTTGTCACATGAAAAGTGTCAAGAAAATTGATAAATCGATCGGTGTTTTATGTACAATGATTTTAAATAAGTCGCCATATTAAAATACTCACGTATTGAAACAGAGCGTATAATATAATGGGCACGAAGCAGGTTTCTGGGTCAAAAGGTCCCAAAAGCCAATTAAGGGTCAGATTAAAATGCTTGTCTGCAGCAAAACCTTTTCGTCATCGAAGGATTTTGAATTATATGGCACACGCTTTCACCATCATGTACTGAAATGTCGCGCGCAAAATGCAGGTCCCTGTGGCCAAAGGGCAAAGTCATATAGTCCAAGAGATGGCGGGGTTTTATTGCAACTTACTGTATCACCAAAACAAACATTGCCATTGTAAGGCATATGGTTTGTAGTTTCTAAAAAACGATTTCTTAAGTTACCTAGCCCGGGCAAAAGTACAAAAAATCAAGATGGCCGCCAAAATGGCCGCCATAAATTACAAAATACCACATAATTTTTGTTTCTTGAATTTTTACTTTAAGATTTTGTACAAAATAATTTTAATTGCACAATATCAGATAAAATATGGTAAAATTATGATTCAATCAAGGAAAAATGACAATTATATGGCAAATTTTAAAATTATCACCATTAATTTACCAAAAAAAAGTGGTGAAAAATAACATTTTTTGACAATTTGATGACTTTCGTTTTTCCGTATTAACACAATATAAATGAAAATGCATTTGAATTGTGTGTACTTTATCAATTTAACACAGCTTAAGAAGTTTAGCATAAAAAAAATCATTATCTGTGCATTTATGCCTTAAAAGTAGAGTTTCAAAAGTGGATGGGGTAAAATTACCGAAAAAAAATTATTAAAAATTATAATGTTTAAAACCTTGTCTTTACTTTGTTATTTAAGTTTAGTGTAAAGGAAAATGTGTTTTAATTGTATGTCCTTTATCATTTGAACATTTTTTTTAAGTTAAACATAAAAAATATTGCCTGCACATTTAACACAGTAGATCTTAAAAAAGTGGGTGGGTAAAATAACCGAGAAAGAAAGAGAAAAAAACGTTCAAAATTATTAAGCTTCTTAAACTTGCCTTTAATTTACTATTTTAGTTCATTGATCACGTAATTTTGTGATAAGAAATATAAAATTTGTATTACATTTAAGAAGAAAGAAACATCATGTATTCGCAATCTATAAAATTATCACAATCAATTTGCCAACAAATAAACGGTACCAAAACATATTTTTTTAGATTTTGTTGTCTTTCGATATATCTATTTGACACAAAGTAGAATGAAATTATGTCACAGTTGTCTGTCTTTTATCAGTGGATTATACTTTGACAAGTTATTAAAAGTTATCAAATATCTTAGAAGAATAGAGTTTTAAAACTTGGTGGGGAAAAATAACACCCAAAACATTAATTTTAATGTTCATCATCTATAATATCTGTTAAACAATTATGTGATGATAGCGTGTAATATGTTTTCAAAACATAAGTAATGTATAGAGAAATACTTTTTTAAAAAGATTTTTTTATAATGTTCTTCCAGTAAATATTGTAAAATGGATATTCGATCTCACTTCATTTTGATATAGATATTAGTTTTAGTTGACACATCATCAGTATAAATTTGACTACAATACAATGTACTATCTAACATGAAAGAAAAGAGAAGTGATTATTGTCATTGATGTAAGGTGTATTCATTTATGGATTGTTGGGTCAATAACATACTGAATAAAATCACAGTCATAGAAAATTGCAATAGTTGAAAGCAAGAGGTGTTTAAGCCTTAATGAACATATCAATTAAACTTAAAATACGATTTAAATACATATATAAATATAAGGTATAGATGTATTAATACATGCTGCACAAAAAACAGTCAATTTTAATACTTAAAATAAAAACAGCATTTTATGCCGCTCCCCTACAAAAATTTGTGAGGAATAGTAATTTGTACAATGCCGCCCCTTCTTCCATAACCCATACTTTGAGTGGGGTCCATACCTTTGTCATTTATGGACAAATTAAATTTTGCATGAATTGTACATTAATGGTCACATCAAGTCAATAATTTTATAATTCCTGGACACATTTTTGAAATAACTTAATTCAAATGTTTTTGGACATAATATCGATATGTCACATTCAAAAATCAAATAACTAGCTTTAAAATGCAAGGTCCAACTTGTACTGTCATATTCATAATATGATTTATACATGGCTGTGTCCTTCCCACGACATTGTCATTCATGGATGAATTTTAATAACTATGCATGCATATTTTAAATTGATCTGATGTGTCTCACGCTTAAAGTATTTCTCAAAGTCACCTCTAATTTTTCAATTTCATGTATTGATACTCTTGTCTGGTCTACTTTTCTGATTTGAATAGATGTGTTGCCGACATGTTTCCTTGTTTGTTTGTGCTGTTTGTTTGATTGGGTTTCACGTCTCACCGACAAAGTATAGGTCATATGGCTACGTTCCAGCTTTACTGATGGAGAAAGACCTCAGTTGCCCTTTCGTGCATTATTTTAGGCGAGTAGAACCACCGACTTTCTGTAAGCTAGCTGGATAGTTTCCTCTCATGAAAGAATCCAAAGTCCCTGTCGGGATTCGAACCCACAGCGGTGTGTGGCAAGTGGTTTGAAGTCAACATCCTGAACCACTTGGCCACATATTCTCAAGAAAAAATCAAGTCCCGGGCTCAAAGGTTAAGGTAATTATTGTCAATTGATAGATTTTGCAAATATTATGCGTAAACATGCTGCATGCTTATTAAATGGATATTTAGCGAACTAGATTCAGTTGTTTATCTAAAATGTCAAGGTCACAAAAGTCATGATACTTCATTAAAAGTTATCTCCAGTCCATATACTCCCCACTTATTTACAAATTTTTAAAATCGTTTCGCTTAACTATGCAGAACATTAAAACATTTTATTATTGTGAAAAAGTTTGATCATAAAGGTCGAGGTAAAACTTGTCTTCTTAAGTTGCCACAAAATTATGCCTTGTTAGTTCAGTCTGTTTGTTTGATTGGGTTTTACGTCACATCGACACAGTATAGGTCATTTGGCGACGTTCCAGCTTTACTGGTGGAGGAAGACCTCAGGTGCCCTTCCGTGCATTATTTCAGGCACAAACGGACACCTGAGTAGAACCACCGACGTTCCATAAGCTAGCTGGATAACTTCCTCACATGAAAGAATCTACAAAGTCCCTGTCAGGATTCGAACCAACAGCAGTGTGGGGCAAGTGGTTTGAAGTCAACGACGTTAACCACTCGGCCACGGATGCCTCATATCAGTCAGTCCAAGAATAATATGATTGATGAATAAACACTACAAAATCATAATTTTGTGGCAATTAATTAAGAAGACCTGTTTGACAGCAAGAATAGTAAAAGTAATGCTTGTATATCAAATGACCACATTGATTTTTTACATTCAAACTTGAAATTCGATTAGAGGTATACCAGCCGACACATAAAACTAACTTGAAAGATCCCCAGATAACTCCACCACTTTTTCGACATGGACTCTGTGGAATAAATGATATTTTCCTTTCATATCTGGCCCTGTGTTAGTAACACAGTACATGTACATTTTACATGGAAAACTATGTTCTACTGACCATTTTATCACTGTTCTCATTTGAAGTAAGAGGCCATTTGTGTAGAATTTATAGGTGCAACCTAATACGACTACTTGAAATATAATTTCTTTCTTTAATTTTCATTTTAACATTTGAGGCCATATTGCTCTAAGAATTGTAGAGAAAGGAAAGATAATGAGATTGAAGATTGACAACAAACATTTTTTAGCTAAAATGATGAAATGTTTGCCATGTAAACTTTTTATAAGTGTAAAATGTTTTTGTTATTACCGTTTAGTTTCTATTGAAAACAACCTCAGTTTTTCATTGTCAACTGTTCAATGCTTATGGCAACAGTGAATTAACTTGTAACACAATTTTCATGGAGATACCATGCATTTCTTCTTATTATTTATCTTTAAAATAACAATAACATTTAAATTGTAAAACTTACAACTTGTTGGGCTGCATAAGGCTGTCCCTGGTTCAACCCTTAAAAAGAATGCTAAAATTATTTTTAGAGATATAAGCATAAAATATGATAAACAAGATCAACAAGGAAAGGCGGCGTTCATAAGTCTCTAATGCTGCATAATAGTTTTAGAAAAGAGAATAATGGAGTCCCCAAAGAAAGCCCTACACGGCACATTTGAAAATGTTGCAGGCTCGGTTTGATTAAGCATGTTCATGGACGGTACTGGAAAGTGCAAGTTACCGTCCACGCCCCCTAGCACCGGCTTAAGCAGAATTCAACATTTACATTTAAACACGAAAATGGTGAAATTTTGAATTTAGAAACATCCGCAGATGTGTTCAAA